CCAAAGATACTGGTAAGCGGGCCACTAATGAATGCGGGTGGAACAGATAGCGAACGATATAAATTATGCCACCAGTCCGATTTCGCTGTCATTCCTGGGCCAGAAACCAATCTAACGGATGAAGTCACACGGCTAGCAGCGGCATGATAATAATTTACATTGCGAACTATCGATTTTGGGGGCGTGGGAGAGCCCCTGACCAGCACTATATCTTGACGCATGTCCGTCAAAGAGAAACGCTCGAAAGGCAGGCCGCAAAGACAACTGAGACAACTGACGAAGCTGACAAATACCCTTCGACTTTTTGAGAAATTTATGGCCAGCTCTTGGCCCGCTGATTGGGGCCGTTGATTGCCGGCCACTGGCCACTTTTCCCCTGTTTTCCCTCCATTGGACATTGGCCAAGGCCAAAGGGCTTAGGCTGCACTTGGTCGGTGAGTGTTCTCTATTCTGTGTTCGGTGCTCAGTGTGCCACTTTCTTAAAGGTCACGCGAGCCATTTCGAATGGGTGGCCAAAGTGATGGGAATCCCATTTATTAAATGAAGCGAAACGAATTCGAAATGGAGAGCGCAGCGGGGTTACAAGGAACAAGGGATCACGTTGTTAAGATTAGATTACACTTCCACAAAAAGTTTCTTTAAATGCAAAGATTATTTTTGAGGCATGTCATCTATCAAATCATAAAGATAAATGTCAACTTATTCCGCCAGAAAGTAGAAAAGCGTTTGTACAAAATGTTTAGAAACATTTAAATAAGATTTATACAAATTACATAAATGCATCGATAAGAATATTTACATTATAAAGCAAAATGTTTTTTTGTTTATATTTAATTATAATACAGTCCCCTATGGAAATTAATTCTTTGAGCAAATATTTTTTCTTTATGATCGACCAATGCTAAATGTTTAAAACAACAGGTTCAGCCAAGGGGTCATTGAAAATGTGTTTCAAATGCAATTTAAATTGATAAGGACAGGGGCTAAGATCATTGCAAAATGTAGAATGAAGGCAATTGATAAGGACGGTACTGGTACAACCACTGAATATTGATGGAAACTATCAATGAAAATATCAAATGAAGGCTTGATTGACGGACGAGCTGCAGATAAGGCAATCCCAGTGCTCTCTATGGCTTTTGGTGGAACCACTAACGTGATTTCTACGATCTGATGGTCTTTCGCAAGCGTGGCGTATTAATTTGCGGGTTCACGAACGACATTAAGGGCTTTACCTTTGGGGTGAGTGGAGGATAGAACGGTGGCAGTTCGTGGCAATTGGGACACCAGCTGGCCATGTTTGATGGATCGTTCCGGGCGGACCCCTCGATGTGGTCGTGGTCGCTGGGGGTTTCGACGTGGTTCTTGTGGCTGCGATTGCTTTCCCCTCGCTATCCGTTTTCATATTCGCTTTCTTTTGGGGAAAGTGTTTGTGGTGGCGATGGTGTAATCGAATTGGAATCGTGTTGGGTGGGTGGGTGTGCTTGTTTGGAGGGCAGGTAGTACTCACCTAGTACTGGCTAAACCACCGAGGCAGGGCTCCAGGGCTGCCAACATTCACACGCTCCAATCGCACATCAATGTGTAGACGATGTGTGGTCGCTGCAGCTCGCCAATTTTGCACGTGGAAATTGTGTGGCTTTCGTTTTCCTATGTCGCTGATGGTATTCCCTGGTTATTTCATAATTGCATTCATTGTGTTTAGAACGGTGTTATCGGCTTCATTGACCTTATCAGTTTCATTGTGCGTTTGTTTGTTTGTTTCTTTGTAATTTTGATCGATAGTTTGCTTTGAATTTGAATTGGAATTTTGTTAGTTTAGAAACTGCGCTTAGTCACACTGCTCATATTTCCTTCAACGATTTTTCTGTTTGCCTACGAAATTTTTCCCTGTGTGTTAAGCTGCAAGAGATTTATGGAGTTGAGCGATACATTAAATAATATTTAAATTGCCAGGCCACCGACGACCGCGGTAATTAATTATATTTTTAGTAAAGCTGTCAGCATTATTTGTGTTTTAATTTTTTAACGACCTCCGGAATTTGTCATATTTAAATCGTATATATTTGTTTTTTTTGTGAGAGTCCCTGTTTTAGTTTTTATTCGGCTACTGCGGGTTTTCACATATACAATTTAATGGGAAGTTTAATAAAATTAATGTTATTTCACCCTTTTCCCCTTCCCGGAAAAACAACGCTGCCAAGTAAATAAATAAATAAAGATGCGAAGCAAGCTTCAAAGCAAAATCAGCAGCTCTCGGTTTCTTTTAATTCTCAGTTCTCCGAGAATTCTCTGAGAAACTCTCTCAATTTCTCTCTCCATTTCTCAGTTGGCTGTTGGTGGATTGGCGATTGCGCTGTAGAGCGAATCCGAAAATTGTCGCAAGAGAAAGCTTTTCCATTGTATGCGAACGTGGGACATGAATTTTGGTTAAGCATACGCAATGTGGTACTGAATACCAGATAGTTATAAAGTATTTAATTTGTTATTTTTAAAAGGGTTTCCCAGGTACTTTTAATGTAGTATTTGAAGAAGAAAATGCAAATCCTTAGTTGAATTATTTTCGACTATCCAGATTAGCGAGGCTCTGCTGTCCTGTGGCTTCGTCCTTTCGCCAGCGGCATGTCGTTGAAACGGAAACACACTGCCCTAGTTTTTAGTTTTCCTTCGTGTCACACACACACACTCACTAGCTCGCAGGACACACACTTTCGTGCGCTTAACAAGCTGCCTAATGCGCCTGCAAACAATGGAAGCAGGACAAATGCCGAGTCAAATGAAAGTTGCATTTTCATAATAAATAAGCTGGCGACACAATTTCCCACGGCACGCCAACGAGCAGGAAAATGGGAATGGGAATGGAATGGAATGGGTAAATGGGTGAATGGGGGCTTCACTGGCGAAGGGGAAATGTAAACAGAGCTTAGTCCTTCGTCCTGGCCGCCCATTGAACTCGCCTGAATTCGGATTCGGGGGCTCCGTTGGCAGTTTGTAGGTATCTGCGTATCCTGGCGCTCGCACACACACACACACACTCTCCAATGGATTCGGCCACTGACTGACTGACACACATATACCAAGGCATACGATACACGAAGGACAACGAGTAGGAAGCAACAAAAATAACATTGACGATGACAGCAGCAAAGGCAGGCGAACGATACAAGTGTATCTCCGGCCTGGAACATCGACTTTATCATCGGGTCGGGTCCTTTCGTTTTGGGGAACTTGTGGTGTGCTCGTCTTGTGCGAAGGAAAAACTGTGCCGTATGCGCATGAGTGTGTGTGTGTGTGCGTGTCCGTGTGCGTGTGTGTTGACTCAACGAATGTATCCCTTTTAAATGAAAACCTGCAGCAGGCCAAAAAAAAAAAAACTTCAACTTTTCACTAGCCCACTTTTGGGCTACCTTATATATGCACACTTTTTGCAATCACAATTTTCAATTTAACAGCACACACACGCTCACTAATTAATTGAATTTCCTGTGTGTGTATGTGTTTCAGCACATTTACACGTTCACTTGGCCCGTTTTCAACGGATACTGAATTTTGCACAATTGCCGTTCCGCAAATGGGCACGTTAATTGCCTGGATTCGCCTGCATGTTTTCCTCAATTTTCCCACGTAATTGGCAAACGCAGTTTGAAAATTTTTCACTTTTCCCGAGTTTGGGTGTGTGTATAGGTGATAGGTCCGTATACATATATGCGAAAGGCACTTTTCCACACAGTCCACTCACTCACACACCCAGAAAACCAGACGCGACGCGCTCCGGCCAGAAAACCAACCTTTCTCGTCAGCAGCGTATACAATTCTGAGCGCTTTGGACTCCGACGACCTGCCACTCGGTGGCACAAAGTGGTTCCGCACGGCCCAAGCTCGCCCTGTCGAGCTTTTCGGAGTCCTGCGGTCGGTGCGGGCTGGACCCGTCTCTCGATTCATCAAAACTGGCGCCAAAACCCATTCACTATGAGTGACCGAGTGCGGCGATGGTGAAGGTGCGATTGAGAGTGTGCCAGTGTCAGTTTCATTCGCTGCGATGCACACGTGGCGTATGTGGAATGTCCAAGGGGATCCGTTGCATACTATCGAGATAAGTGCCCGAGTGGATTTTCAATGGGATTAAACAGGACTCAATTCAACAAATTCAATAACTCTTGGGATAATTATTATCTTCTACTTAAATTTTACTATTGTATTAAAATGCAATAAGATAAAACGACTGAGAGTGTGACACTGGCAGTTTCATTCGCAGCGATGCAACATGGCGTATGTGGAATGGTTAAGAGGGTCTGTTGCATACTTTTGGGGTAGATGCACTTGCATATTGTGAATGGGATTAAAAATTACTTTTGCATGTTGTAAGTCAATAACCTACTTAAGGGATTTGGATATTCCGTAAATATATAATGTTGTACTTAAATGTTTAATTGTTTAAATAAATTATATTAATTAAGTATACATGTGCTTATTATTCCCTGTATTTATACACTTGTGATTTATACTATAACTTTGTTATTTACAGTTTATGATTCTGCAAATATTTTGTGAATTTTCTGACGGACCAAATAAATTGTTAGTTATTCTGGGCGGAGAAAATTAAAATTCTACCTATGTATTTAAAATTACATTTGTATCTGTATTAAAAATAAAAGATTATTTCCTGACATTGATTAATTTCGTAAGCAATATTAAGATAATTTTACATTTAAGAACATAATTTTACCATTTTGTTCTTCATTTATTTTTTTAATTTTACTTCCATGTTCCCAATGTTCGCAAAATATTAAAAAATATAAATTTATCCAACATTTTGTTACTGTTATTATTAGTACGTCATATATTATATATTAAACATTTTCCGCTTACCTGCTATATCTTCTTCAAAATTCGTGTGTTTTCGATTGGAAATTCAAATCTTTTTCAGCTCCGCAAACATCGATTGAAAGCTCAGCTGGTTTTGGAGTAGGACGTATCGATAGCCTTATCAAGCAGCGATAGTTATGTCATCTGGGTTTATTTTGGTCTGGCCAATCCAATCCAAGCCGGCATAGAATTGCCCGTCACCAGACCAAGACTAGTCCGAATTCTCTGCAGGATTCGGGAGCCAACAGAAGCAGCGGAAGGACCATGACGACGGCCGTGCTGGGCGGCGGGCTGAGCGGCCTGTCCGCCGGATACTACTTGTTGCGGCGGTTCGGCAAGCCGCTGACCATCTACGAGGCCTCGCCCCGAGTGGGCGGGTGGGTGCGTACGGAGAACCGCAAAGACCGCAACTTCATCTTCGAGAGCGGACCGCGCACCATACGCCCCGTTGGCCTGCCAGGAGCAAATACACTGGAACTCGTGGAGGAGCTGCAGCTGGAGGTGACTCCCATCCGGCGCAGTCATGTGGCGGCCCGCAACAGAATGCTGTATGCCAAGGGGCAGCTCTGCATGCTGCCCAACAGTCCCAAAGGACTCTTCGGGGTCCTGCCACCTTTTACCAAACCGCTTTACAAGGCAATACTGCGGGATCTGGTCACCGCGAGTAAGAAGGCCAAGCTGGAGGACGAGAGCATCTACAGCTTCGCAGAGCGGCGGTTTGGCAAGGAGATAGCCGACTACGCCATTAGCCCCATGATCTGCGGCATTTGTGCCGGGGATGCCCGCGAGATCAGCGTCCGCTTCCTGATGGAGGGACTCTTTGAGAAGGAGCAGAAGTACGGTGGAGTACTCAAGGGAGCACTCCTTGCCCGCTTCAAAGACAAGACGGTGGACTCCAAGGAGGGCCTTTTCGCTCAGGGACAACCCAAGCTGTACGCCCAGGCGCTGCAGGAGAAATGGGCCATGTACGGACTGCAGGGCGGATTGGAGATCCTTCCCAAAGCACTGCGAAAGTACCTGGGCGAGCGGGATGTCAACGTGCAGCTGAGCAACGAGTGCCGCAGTTTGACCTTTAGCAGCTCTGGCGTCCGGATGACCATCAAAGATGCGGATGTGCCGGTGGAGCATGTGGTCAGCTCCCTGCCGGCTCACAAACTAGCGCCCCTGGTGAAGCAGCAGCATCCCTCGCTGAGCGCCCAACTGCTGGATATACCGTACGTGGATGTGCTGGTGGTAAACATGCAGTTTCCAGGCAAACTGCTCAAGCAGGATGGCTTCGGACTGCTGGTGCCGCCCGTGGAGAAGCTGCCGATATTGGGCGTGATTTTTGACAGCTGCTGCTTCGAGATGGGCGAGAACACCGTGCTCACCGTGATGATGGGCGGCCATTGGTTCGACCAGTGGTTCGGCAATCGCCCAAGCCCCAAGCAGATCCTCGACCTGGCCACCCGGCAGGTGCAGCAGATTCTGCAGATCCACGAGGAGCCCAAGTTCAGTCGCGTGCACACGCTGCACAAGTGCATACCGCAGTACACGGTTGGCCACAAGCGACGCGTGGAGGGCATCCGGAATTACATCAAGACGTACAAGCTGCCGCTGTCGCTGTGCGGAGCCGCCTACGATGGAGTGGGCATCAACGACGTCATCCTGTCAGCCCGGCGCCAGGTGGAGGCCATTCCGTCCTCCTAGATCAACCATTCCCAAACATACCCTTTTATCCGTTGGCGATTCTGTTGTATTTGCTTAAGCTGGTTTTGTGAGTAGTAAAGTAGGTCCTTTGTACATAGAATGGGCTTTTGATTCCTGCGGGTTTACTTGCCGTGACCTCCCAAGCACGGCGGGCTCTTCTCCGGCTCCTGCTCGGGTTCCCACTGTTTGGGCGTCTTGGCCTCGATGGACAGGGCGTGCATGAACTCGAAACCGGCGGCCTTCAGGGCATTCTTCACCGTATCATTGACCAGTCGATGGCGCTGTGTGGGAATGCATTAAATAAAAACTAGATGACATGGTTTATAATTTCACCTTGATGAGGGTCAGATCGTTGAACTTCTCCGAGACGACGAACACCCGGAAGTGGGACTCCGACCGCTTGGGCACATTGTGCTGGGGCGATTCGTTGATGACCTCCAGGAACACCGGCTTTAGCTCTGTGGTGAGTGCCTTCCGCATGGCGAACTCAATGGGCGGGTACTGACCCGCCTCCTGCGACATGGTGGCTCTGGAAAGGATCTGTCCCAAGCTGCTGATCGTTGGCGTCACTTGATTCAGGTTTCGCGAGGAAACTCCAGCGAATCGGCGAAAAGCAAGATTTAACATGATTCCAGTATGCTTCTTGCACAGCTGTTCACGATTACATAAACAACTAATGACCAGGGTTGTGAAGTGTACGATTGGAATCGACCTATCGATAGCCACAACTTTTCAAATGTCAGTTTTTAACGGACACATATTCAACGGCTTAAAAATGCATTTAGATTAGTCTATCAATTGATAAAATAATAATAATAATAATAATAGAAAATCATTCTCAAGAAGATTAAATTAAATAACCCATAACGTATAAATCTGAACATTTAACTATAATAACCCAAAAATAAAAGTTCTAAAAGGATTTAGGGAGCAAAGAAAAATATGTATTTGTAATAACTAATTAAGTACGGGAATAAAAATTCAAGCGCTTGATAAATGACAATCAGGAAATAAGTAAAATTAAAATGTACAAAAAATGCTCTCTCCTTAAAAAGTCTTAACTGTAATAGCTAAAATTATTTTATTGGGCCAAAATCAACAGTTAACGCAGAATACGCTCCAGAAATGATTCCTACATCTATAAACAATCGAGCGAATATCAAGTGTATAATCAAGTGAATAGAAAAGGGTCTCCTTCACAGCGCTATCCGGTTCAGTAGTCGACCAGTTTCTTGAGCTTTGGTGGTGCGGATATCACGACGCGTCCTCTATTGGAGGAGCCGCTGCCACTGCCGCCGTAACCGTAATCCGCATCTCGTTCGCGGTCCCGTCCCCGCATCCTGTCGTGCTGCTGTTGCTGTTGCTGCTGATGCTGTTGCCTGTACCGCTCCCGCTCGCGATTTCGCTCTATGCTGCGGTCTCGCTGTCTTCGCCGCCGGGACTGACTCCTCCGGCTGCGGGAACGTCGTCGGTCGCGACTGCCACTGCGCCGTCGGCTGTTGGAACGCCGCTTCCGCTCCACGCGACTGCTACTTCTGGAGCGGGAACGCTGCCTGCGGTTGTGTTTGGGACTGGGCGTCCTCGTGCGTCGCCTTCTCTCCGTTCGACTGCTGCTCCGCCGACTGTGCTGTGTGTCCGGCGGAGGAGTCCGCCGGCGACTGTGCGATCTGCTGCGGCTGCGACGGGTCGAGGTCTTCGCCAGCTGGCTCTCCGAGGCCACCGATTCCGCCTCGCTATCCGACAGCTTTCCACTCGAGGGTGTACCATACTTGTGACGCAGCTCACGGCGCCTGTGAATATGTAGATGTGAGAGGACCGCTAAAGCCGACCACATCAAGATACTCACCTCCTGCGCAGCTTCAGCGCCAGTTCACGCATCTCGTCTTCACGCTCCTGCTGCTGCAGTCGCTCCCGTTCCGTCTTCTCAATCTCCGCCCTTTTATCGGCTTTATCTGCAAAATAGTCATGTTTTAGTTTTCTACTCCAAGGGGTTTCAGAAGGCGTTTGGTGAACATCACACTACACTCCTGGTGGCTTACATTGCCGGTTCAGTAGGTTCTGCATCTTTCGCTTAAGCCGTTCGCGCAGATTGGGTCGTCCGCCGCCAGAACTCGGATGTCCAGAGCCCTGTAAAACATAATAGTTATTTAGCAAGTCCCATGGTGGGGTTGAGGCTTCAGGGAGCAGGGCGGGCAGTCGAAAGTGTGTTGGGCAGTAGGGATCAGTCAGTTCGTTCATGATCTGCTCAGTCGAGGACTTCTACTCACTAACATCAGGGAAAGCTAGCTCCGAGGACCGAAGCTTTGAATACCCTTGCAGACTAATCGCTTTTCAGGATGCTATCTGACAAATAAATAATATTTTTAAGTGACAAAGTAGAGTACCATTATTTCGGAACACCCTTGTTCATAAAGTCCCTTTGAAATGGAAGAATAATATCAAAATATACTTAAGCTGGCTGTACTTATAAAACAGGAATAATGATATCTTGAAGAGTTAAGCTACAATAAAAATGGCAGAAGTTCAGTACCATGGGATCCGTACAACAACCGTGGCTCCTATTTTCTGAACTTTTCTGCATAGCAACAGATTAACGGAAATGCAGACAAACAGGACGTTAAACGTTTCGTCTTTATAAACATAATGGGGTGGTAAATGCATCCTTGATTGCATTGCAATCTCCTGCGCATAATAGCAACGACTACTGCATTGGCATTGAAAGGGGGACACAAGACAATGCATCAACAAGGGGACAGGCAGGGCAGGGCAGGGATGGTAGCATGGTCACTGGTCGGGGTTGGAACGAGAACACGGTGCTGCCTGCTTGGGTCCGAATGTTGCTCATTGGAATGCGGATTGCGGGAGGCTGAGACGTGAATTTTGTGGTGTACTCCAGTTGGGTGGGGCATGAGACACTTGGCTTTGCTTACTGACTTTGGTTTCGGTAGCAGAACTATATTTGCCTGTTTGATTACCCGTGCTGCTCGATGACGACATGGTTGGCTGGAGGGCATGGGAGCGCTCTGACCTGCAAGAGAGATTCCAGAATCAGTTGTCGGTTACAAACACTACGAATTATAGACTAGTGTTTGGCTGTTCTACTTTACCACTCTGCGCCATACAAACTTACGCAGTGTCCACTTCCATTTCATCGGAATCCTCTGCTCGCTTTCCCAACTGTTGTTGCGGCTGCTCCTCGTTGTCGCTGGCTTCGCTGTTTTCCGCTCCCGACGAGGATGAGGACGAAGTGTCGTTGGCTCTCTTCCGGCCATAGTAGCGTTTCAGTGGCGGCGGTGGTGGCTCCAGAACCTGCGGTTGCACTGCAGCGGGAGCGGCAGCGATGCCGGGTTGGCCTAGATTGAGCACTCGTGCCGGCAGGGGATAGCTGATCATGGGCGGCATGGCCTTGACCTGCGGCTGCTGCTGCTGCTGGAGCAGCTTCACCGCCGTCAGAGTGGATGTTGTGGTAGTGGTGGTGGTGCTCAGGCAATAGCCACCAACCGTCGCCACCGGCGGCGGTGTGGTCTTCTTCTTTGCGCGACTTCTACGACTGGAATGGGAACGGGAGCGACTCCTTCGCCTGTAAGAGCTTGCACTGGAGCTGCGCGAGGAGTAGGAGTAGCGCTTTCTGGACCGCTTGTAGCTGGGACTGCGCGACTTGTAGCGTTTCCAAGAACCAGAGCGCGAGCGGGTGCGTGACCTAGACCTTGATCTAGACCTGGAACGAGATCGCGACCGGGATCTAGATCTGGAGTAGTACCTCCGTCGACGTCGTGAGCGCGTCCTGCTCCTTCTCTGATAGCTACGACTGCGACGACTCCTCCTCCGACTCCCACTGCGACTTCTGGAGGCAGAGCCGCTCCTGGAACGAGAGCGAGAGTGCGAGCGGGAACGGCGTCTGCTGCGCTTGGCCGACTCATTCATCACCTTCAACTTGGGCAGGTTGTCCTTAACCTTCTGCGCATAGGACACCGAGGAGGCTGCTGCTGCGGCAGCAATGGCTGCTCCGCTGCTGGCATTGATGCAGGACTCTCCCAGAGTCAGGCCCGGCTTGGTCAGGCTGATGGTGATCTTGGAGTGTGGCTGCATCTCGTCCTCGCCGCCGAATGAGGTAATGTAGGTGATCTTCTCCGGGCCCGCCTCGGCAGGAGAAGGAGATCTGGAGTCGCTGTCCTCTTCCTTTTCCTTGTCGCCGCCCTTGACGCCACCCTTCTTGTCCTTGTCCTCCTTGGCCGCATAGCTGGGCGGACTAAAGGGTCTATTGGCGATTCTCCGTTCCTTTTGGGCACGTCGCTCGCGCCTCGACTTCCTGCCACTCAGCAGCATCTTCTCTTGCTCCTCCTCGCGGGCAATGCGCAAGGCGTCCGCCTCGTCCGCATCCTTGGTCAGGTGCGAAAAGAAGTCGTTGCTCTTCATGCCGTAGTTGCGCCCGCAGGCGTTAAGCTCGTGGGCCTGGGCGGTGTCCAGCTTGCCGATGTCAATTGAGACGTCCATATCGATGTCCGAATCGGATTCGTCGCTGCCCTCCGCCTTGTCGCCCTTGGCAGCAGCTGCTCCTCCAGTGGCGGTCGAACTGGCAGCTCCGAAGGGCTGCGGGCCAATGGTAGCTGCATCGCCAGCGTCGTCATAGGAGTAGCCAATGGTGGCTCCACCAGTCTTTTGTTTCTTCTTGGCCAGATTGCGCTCCGCCTCCAGCTGGGCATTGGCCCCGAACTGCTCCTCTAGGTAGAGCTGGTGCAGAAACTTGTCCTCGCTTACGTTCAGGAAGTCGTTCTGGGCCAAAATACGATAACGTTCGTAGTTCAGCTGGCGCTCCTCGGTGGTCAGGTCGGAGTCCACCTCGGCTCCATCTACGGTTGTCTTGTTCACGGGAGGTATGTGATCTAAATGGGCACGCACATCGAAGCGATCGATGAGGTTGTCCTGTTGACCCTGCCAAGGCACACTGCAAAAAGGAAGGACACTTAGTAAAGGACACCACCAACCACACAAGAAGTAGAGGGTTGTAAGCTCCAACTGAATATCACTTGCATGATTGCGGCTCCATCGCCGGCGGCGGCCACCGCGGGATCCAGGTAAATCTTGCTCCGACGGCCGTGCAGCTGCAGGAACTGGGTGGGATCAGCCTGGATCTTGTCGTAAAAGTACTGCCGCCGCTCCGCCCTTTTTCTGTAGTCGACGATCAGACCGCGGATCTTGCGCTCCTGCTTCCTCGCCTCGTGCCACATCCTTCTGGTCGTGTGCTTCTGATTCCTGCGGTCGCCGGCTGGCAAATGAGTGTGCTTCAACCGCAAAAGGACATCAGCACGCCCGGCAAATACTTCCTTCGTAGCTGCTTCGTTTTCGAGTTAGGGATGGCAGAAGCAGCGATGTAATATCGATTCAAGGTACATAAATCGAGAGTATCGATGAGAGGAATCATCGATATTACTGATGTGAACATTTTGCGGGAGATCACCATTATTTTATTATTTTTAGTTTATTTTTAAATATAAATGAGCCGATTTTAGCTAGATTAAAATATATTTTTAAAAACTTCTCTGTAATTTTTAAAAGTGGATATTATTTTTTTAATTATATCAAGTAGAATATATGATACACTTATCCTTCCCTAATATATTCATTGTTCTATTTTGTCGGGAGCTAATAAAATTCTGATTGTCAATTTGATTCTATATTTGGGAAAGATGGGTTTTAAAAAACGGGATATAAAATAACTTACGTTTTTTGGAATTGCATATTTATATTTTCGATTAAGAACCTTAGCTCCATTATCAAACCCATTTTCATTGGAACTTTTTTTTGAACAATCGTTATAAGCTTATTTCTAATAAAAATCATTTTTAGAAGTGGATATTATTTTTTTATTATTTACTATTGAATATGTGATACATTTATACCTCCATAATTTATTCGATGTTCTATTTTTTTCTAGCGCTAATAAAATTGTGAATGTCCATTTAATTTTTTTCTTTAGGATGGGATGGGTTTTGAACATACGGAATATCAAATATCGTACGTTTTTTGGGATTGGCTATTATTATTTTCAATTAAGATCCTCAGGTTCGTTATATAAGCCATTTTCATTGGACTTTTTTATTCGAAACATCGTTATAAGCTTATTTGTAATCAAAATCATTTTTAAAAGTTTATTATTTACAATTAGATATATGATACATTAATACCTTTATAATTTATTTGATGTTCTATATTTTTCCAGCGCTAATAAAATTGTGAAGGGTTACATATTTGATTTTTTTTCTTTAGGGAAGATGGTTTCAACGTACGGAATATCAAACAACTTTCGTTTTTTGGGATTGCCTATTATTATTTTCAATTAAGAACCTCGTTTCGTTATCTAAAACCATTTTCATTGGACCTATTTTTCGAACCATCGTTCGTTATTTTTGTTCTATGCTGGCAACGCCGTGAAGCCTGCGCCCTTTTGTCGGTGGTGGAAACAACAAAAGGACAATAAATAACAAGCCAAACTGGAATGGGCCACAACACAACAATTGTCGCTCGCCGCCTTTAGCGGCATCGATTTTGAAGGGGAACACATCCACAACCACAGCCACATCCACAGCTGAATCGGAAGGACACCCACGGGGATTTGCGAGTGCAAGGACCAAGGAGCAGTGAGGGGAAAGCGAAAGAAGAACGAGTCCAGCTCGTTTGCGGATCCAGTTTTGATGTCCTCAGACAGACGCTACTTCTTCGGAGTGGATCTGGAGGACAACGAGGGTGCCATCTGCAAGGACAGCGCCAACAACAACGAGGCGGAAGTGGAGAAGGACGACCACGACGCGGACGATTCTGAGTTCCTGCAGGATGTGCCCTATTCGTCGAGTAGCATCGACCGCAGCTCGGTGGGCTCAATTCCCTGGGCGGACGACGCCATCAAGAAGAACCTGCTGGACTGGGAGCGGGTGGAGCGGCTGATGAGCGGGGAGGATCCTTTGCCGGAGCTCCAGGAGCCGGAGTTGCGCAACGAGATCGCCGATTGGCAGCGCAAGTTCCCCAGCCTGCTGGGCCGCAGGACTGCTCTCCGCCACCACAGCTTCGACAGCCAGACGAGGGAGGATATCGACTCGATTTCAAATCTCAGCCTGAACTCCCTCGACGACGACGATGAGGATGAGGAGGCGGAGGACGGCTTCCTCACACCCAAGGCGGAGGAACAGCACCAGCCCCATCACCGCTCCTATCTGCGTCCCAGTCAGAAGAAGCTGGTCGATCTGCTGGACAGAGATCTGCGAGTCACCTCCGTCTCGGTGAAGCTGCTCAAGCGCCAGCGTAGCCAACAGTACCACCAGCCGCCGATGCCTATCTCCTCGGCCACCAACCAATCCTCGGCCCGCCTGCGCATGCCGCCCATACTGAATGTGCTGGACACTAACCGGCGCTTCCGGGGATTGCTCAACAACCGCAGCTTCGTCCAGCTCACCCAGGTGCAGCAGAAGGAGCAACTGCAGCAGCAGCATCAGGCCAAGTCCGCCGTGCTGCCGCACCAGGGCCATCGCTCGTCCGCTTGGCACATGCCCATGGCCGCCAGTCGTTTCTTCAACAACAAGAACGCGGTGGTGCTGCCCTCGCTGAACCTGAGCAGGCACAACAGGGATCTGCTGGCCACCACCACGGCCACTTCGAGCCAGAGCAACTCGAGCGGCGGCGGCGGGCACAATAGTCACGGCCACAGCAACAGTTCCTCCAACCGCTCCACAATGCATCCGTTCGGCGCAACTAGCGTGTCCAGCAACACACCGTCCACGGGGCGGTCCATCTCGGCGGCAGTGCATCATCCGCGCTCCGAGTTCGCACCGAGCAGTGCCTTCTACATACCCTACAGTGCCTCGAAATTCAAAGCCTTCAAGTAACCTCAAACAATAAAACTGAACTCAAAGGAGCATTCGCTTTAAATTATTTGGGAGATGTTTGAAAAAATGGGTAATATAAGGTTTGAATGTGCTTGTGTATCTAAAAATATTCTACTCTAATTAAAAATCTTATGAATTGCCATTCGCGTAAAAAGACTAGAGAATTTGTCCATAAAAATTTATATTCGAGAATGTAGTCTTTTTCACGTAGTATATATTCTTCTGGCCAATGAAAAAGTGCATACAAAAATAACACATCGTTTTAACGCAGTTAAATGGATGTTAGACCCAAGTCGCTATAGTTATCTATGACCAAAGACGACTTATCCCTTAAATACCCATATTATCCAGGCGTAGACGTCCATCGTGTTCAGTGAGGTAGAGGGTGTCGGCTAAGCACTGCTCTGTGATCAACTCCTCCACGCGATCGTGCATCTGTAAAGGATTGCTCAGTCAATTTAAATGATCCTGGGAAAAAGAGAAAATGAGCTATCCTACCCCCTTGGCTTTGCGATCGCCGAGCACCTCGGGATACTTGAAGGCGGGTCCGAAGTTCACGCTGACCGTGGCACTTTTGTGAATCGAAATGGCCGGAAAGTAGCTCCCGGCGTAGATGTCCTCGAATGCCACGCCCTGCGACTGGCCGTTCTTAAAGAACTCGATGCGACTTCCCTGCAGGATGTGCAGATTCTTAAGCGTCTCGGTGATCTTGTCCTTGTCCTCGTAGTACAGATGCGACTTAAACTTGACCAGCGGCTATGGAGAATGAATAGAAGGCAGGATTGCTAATTAGGGAGGGTCTTTTTGTAAGAATGCAGTACAATTAAAATGTAAAGGGGTAAGATATAATGTGGGCTAATTATCATGATTGACCTTTCATTTTTACAATAGGAAAACCAAGACTTGTTTGGGCAAAGCACTAAAGACAGGCAGAAAAGTTCAAACTATTAAAAAATTGTTTTTTTAAATACAACACTTTTTTTGTCACTTTATTTCATTTCAAAACAAAATGTTGAGAAATTTTCAAGTCGTTCAACTATAATTTCCAAGTAAACTAGTTTTCCTACTCTTATTTACTTAAAATAATGATCTGTACATTTTTGGGGGCGTGGTAATAACATACCCGATCTTTGAATGTGTTGGGCAGATAGTCGAGCGCTGTCTCCTCTGGCAGTTCGATCAGGAATCCCAGGGTGTCGCCTTCTACGTAGGCCTCACTATAGTGCTTCCCATGGCTCTCGGTGAACTTGGTGCCCTTGCGAGATCTCCAGGAGTAGCCGAATTTGTCATAGCCCAATGGAGCCTGTAGGTTGCCGTATTCCCTGCCCCAACCGAGTCGCGTGGCAGCTCCCTCGGGCATTTCCTCGATAGTGATCTCGAAGTACCAGCAGCCCCGATTCACAGCTGTGGGATAAGTAGAGTAGTATATTACAGTGTTTTTGGTTTTGCTAGAAATTTAGGAGTTTCTTACAGTGGGTGGCCCGGACCATGCAGTAGCCCCGTTCACCCGTCACCGCCAGCCGATCCTCGCTGATCTTGAGCTGCGGTGCCCTATCGTGCAGCGCCAGGAGCACAGAATGGGGCACCAGGGTGCGGTAGAGCCAGCCGGGAATGGGTTTGCCGGCCCAATCAGAGCTCTCGTCGAATTCCTGGCGAAAAGGAGCATGTGGATCCGGTTCGGCGAGTATATAACGATAGCCATCCTTGTTGAAGGGGTGCTCCAAAGGATAGCCATGTGGTGGCAGCTTAACATTCGCAGCGACATCGGAGCTGGGACGACCCTTCTTGCCCGTGGGTCCTGAATCCGTGCCGGGGAATTTTCTCTTCTGTCGATTGTTCTTTGACAAAGCAGCTGGAAAAAAGGAGACAATTATATATACTTCTAGAAAACAATTGTATGTTATATATACCGTCTATCCGCAAGGTGCTATTTCTTAGTCACTACTTAAGATAATTTGGGGATAAAAAAATAAAACTAATTTTACTTTGACTACTAAGTATCCCCAATAATAACTTCTATTACCGAGAGAGTTTTTGAAGATTTTTAATGGTATAGACATTTGGTAAAGTGTCTTAGAAAGTATCTTTAAGGGCAAATCCTTAAGTAGTAAAGAGTTTGGGCTGTGAACTATTAAAATTATTTGTGTTGAAATTACAAGTATAACGAACACGTAATCACTTATCCTATTGAACACCCGCCTGAATCTCTTCTAGGAAACTTTTTAGAGCAACTTCAAAGATACTTCAGAAGGTTAGATTCATATGTTTCTGAAAGGCGTAACTTCTACTAAGGAAAGATACTATCTCTGGGCACAAATGTATCTTCCATTCGATTCTATCACGATGGCAAATGTTTCCTGGGATCAGCTAACTGGTGCGGCAAAGTTCGAGGTGTTGGTGCTTCCGGGCTTACACTCCTCATCCGGAAACGATGACGCCATGGCTGGAAGGGGCAGGACCAGGAGCAGGCCACAAGCGAGCTGGAGGAGCAGGGGTCTTGCAATTGCGTAGTGCTCCGAATTAAATCAAAATCAATTTCCCTGAAAGAGCGCCTCACACACACACTCGCACAAGTGTTCCAAGCGTAACTATTTGTTTGTAGTGAATGTTTGTAATGAATGAGCTTAGTTGAGCTCTTCTGCCAGCCCCACCCCACTCCGCCCCCCGCAACGCCCACAATGTGACTACGTGGGGCTGCTCTCTTCTCTCCTCTCTCTTTGTGCCTATGTGTGCGTTTGCAAATCAGAAAGTACGATCCGCTTTGCGATTTCCAGTCGTGTTTGTTGTTGTCTTGCCAAACACTTGCGAAAGAGCGTGCGAAATGGAGCGGCGAAGAAGAGAGTGCTTGTTTTGTTTGCGGAGAGTGTGTGAAGTGGACGGGGTGATAAATAGGGAATAGAAGTGGAGACGATATAGGGGACACCCGAACCACTGTGCCAAAATCAGCTGGCTGGCCAGTGTTGCCGATTTGGCCTTAAAATGCTTATCCCTTTTAAATTCTATAGCTATAATGAAAAACGGTTTATCTGACTGACAAATCAAAGAAGAACTAAAATTTCTTAGTTTTTAAAATTCATAAAGATAGCTAAGGACTTAAATCAATTTATTTCATAAAATCGATTTAAAATGGTTATATACACAATCTTGTTTGTAAAACATTTTCTTATTAATATTTATTCTTCTAAACCATTTCAGTTAAAAGCTAAATTTCTAAATAGTTAAAAAGAACCAGAGTCATAAATCTAAAGGAAAAATAGAATGTTTTTGAAATACCTATTTACATTTATCAGTTTCTGAATAGCATGAATATTGCCAAGCATATTATTTTGTTAGTTATGTGAAATTCCATGACCTTTCTTTGGTTAAGCAATCAATACGGATTGGCTAATCGAGATAAAAAGTCTCTTACGATACAAGTTATAACAGCTTGAGTAATGGGCTTAGCCTACTATAACCAAATCCATTATAAACTCACCTTGGGTGTATCCATCGTCGGTAAGACGCAGGGCGCCGCTTTTACTCATGCCCTCGTAGTTGGGCTTGATGATCCGCAGATCCTGGTGGAACAGTCCATACATAGAGCCGTGTTCAGAGTGCTCCTCGTAGGTGAACAGCGTCTGGACGTCCTTTACCAATGATCGTTGGACAGTGCTGTACCAGGATTGAGTAAGCCGGCGCGGCATTGTGGTCATGGCCTCCCAGTACTGTTCGATGTACGGGATGATCTCCTTGTCCTTGCTGAACTGGATCTGGCGACGTCCTTCCCTGGCAGCCGTTTGCTGCATGTTGGCAATGGCACAGTGGCACATCTGGGAAATGGCTAGGCATGGATAGGGATTATCGTTACTATGGGGACAAGGGCTAAGAGACCTTTCAACTTACTCGCCTGACTCTTGCGAAAGCTCTCTAATCCGCTGGCCGAGCAGCTCTTGCAAACGAACACATAGTTGGTGATGAAGGGCAGGAGCTTGCCCTTGCCCAGTTGGTAAGAGACGCAGGACTCGTGAACCCAGCGGGCACAGGTGGCACAGAGCAGCTCCACGATGTTAAGATTCCGCTCCTTGCCGCTAAAAAACATTCTTATCAATGGGGGCAGAGCAAACAAGAGAAAACCTTACCAGTAACAAACGCCGGCGGCGGCACGCGATTCCTGGGTTTTCTCTTCGTCTGCATTGAAATTCACCTCGGAGCTGGACTCCGTGGGCGAGCTGGTGTCCATCTGGATGTCCTCCATGGCAGTGATGCACTTTTTCAGTCAGCAAACAGCATGTAAACAAAAATAATTTGCGGAGCGCAAGAATAGCTGGCTGACCAGTGTGACCGTTGGCGGGAACACATGGATGCCCAGCTAGTGGTGGACGCGACGTCACCGATAACCGATAGCTGATAGTCGACAAATTTTGCGCACACAGCCTGACAACCCTGCCCCTGCCTCTTCGCTCCAACTCTGGCTCTTGCTTCGATTGTAATTGTATATATATACATATATATCCCAACCAAATATATATGTCCGAGTGTAGAATTATCATTTTTTTGTTGCCGAAAAACAGTGTTCCGTGTTGAGAGGCGAGGGCGCCATCCTAAATGGCATTGCACGACCGCCGGGAGCGAGCCGAGCGAACCACGACCACGAAAACCAAGAGCAAGTGCCCGCGACCGAGACTCCGCCAGCGAATCCGAATCCCGATCCCAGACTCCTAGACGGCCAGGAGTCGTCGCCGCTGGAAAGGCGGCCCTAACCCCTGGAAGCCCCCGCGTCAGTCCGCAGCCAGTGAAGCACCATGTGCGAGACGTGCGCCGAATTCCAGAACCTCCTGGAGCTGTGTAAGTGAAGAGGGTCCCTGCACCTGCCCCCGCCCTTGCTCGCCCACTCACCCCCCTCTCTTCCTCTTCCAGACGAGGTGCGCGTTGCCAGCTCGGATCTCAAGTTCCAGCTGCTGCTGAAGAGCGAGATCGAGACCACCTTCAACTACATTCAGTCGTGGCCGCAGCGCCAGTGCATGTGCCTGTACCGGGACACCAAGAACTACGATCGCTTCAACCTGGTGGTGCAGTCGCTCATCTGCCTGACGGTGCAGCACCTGAAGCACATCGACCACCTGATCGACAACTACAAGCGACTCACCGCCAGCGCCGCCCAGGTGGTGGCCCAGGCCCAACAGCAGCGAGAGCAGCAGCGGGACGAGGCGGCAGAGGGAAAGGACTCGTCTACTGCGTCAGAGGAGCCCAAAAAGGAGGAGCCCGCCTCCGGCAGCTCCCCAAGTGAGGAGGCCCAGGGCTCCGGCGATGGGCCGCCCAAGAAGCAGCCTGTCGGCCCCTGCACCCCTCCTCCGCCGCCGACGCCAACCCCATCCCAGCACAAATCCCACCTGCAGTACACAGAGGAGCCCTGGATCCTGCCCGAGGTGGAGAAACTGCTCGTGCTCGTCTCGAAGGTGTTCCTGCTCAACTTCCCGCTGTACATCGCCCACAAGCATGGCATGCACTCGCGACTGGACGACCTGCAGGCGGAAGAGGCCCATCATCTGGCCCTCATCTGCGATCTGCACGATAACGACCTGCCCATCTACCTGCTGCGGAACGTGAGCCTATTCTGCAACTCCGGTGGCTTTGGCGCCATGTCGCTGTGCTTCGAACACCCCGATTTGCCGGTGTCCACCGCCCACTCGATGACTGCCGCCGTCTCGAACGTGAAGCTCTGGCTAAACTACCACTGCAACACGCAGCTCTTTGTCCCGCTGCGCAGCCGCATCCTGCAGTACATGTGCAAGCTGTCGGATCAGAGCCTACGGTCAGCCGCGACCCGCGCTATGGCCGACTTCGTGTGGTCCTCCATGCGGGACCCGCTGGACGTTGCCGTCAACTTCGACACCGAGGGATTAGCCCTGGCCTTCAAGTACTTTACATCTACCACGCTGACTATGCGACTGGCAGGTAGGTCTCGAGGGGATTTAATAGATTAACAGCTATTTGGATTAGAAAAAATATGTCATTTATATGATTACTTGCTTAAATAGCTTTACAGAATATTGTTTCGAGCAACTTCAATTTAAATTAGGAGTTCGTTGACCATTTCATAAATGCAGCCACTGACATAAATATTTTAGGATAGAAACTAAGAAATTAAATCAGTTAGAGAAACACAACTACAAGATAATCACTATAGTAGTATCACCACTAAACGATCTCGTATACCTTCCAGGCATGGCCCAGATCAACGCACACATCAACCTGTTCAACGAGATCTGCACCACGGAGACTGTCAACGAAGTGGAGCTGTTCGGACAGCGCATCGCCAACTGGCTGACTGAGAACCATATTGTGCAGCACCTGTTCGGTCCGAATCTGCACGTGGAGATCGTAAAGCAGGCGCACGTGCTGCTTAACTTTCTAGCGGTGGAGAACCAGATCTCCGAGGAAGACATTAAACTCATCTGGCAGGCCACTCAGCTGAAGCACTGCTCTAAGACCATCTTCGACATTCTGCCGTCGCTGGTGAAGAACCTGGCCCCGCGTCCAGCCATGCACCTTTACTCGTTGCTCTGCCGCATGGATCCCAAGGAGCACACGGAGCAGAGCATCTACATAGCCTCAGCGCTCACGAAGCTCCTGTGGGCACGCGATTGCTCGCGCAGCCAGATGAACCTGATGCAGGACCATCTGCTGGGATCCAACGTAACCGCATCCAGCTCCGACAGCGGCAGCATCGAGGGCAGCAACACGGAGGACGATCACGTGGGCGCCGACGACAGCAGTATCGCCAGCGGTGGAGGCGGCGGTGTTGGTAACAAAAGCCCCATCGATGGAGTCACGCCATGCAAGCAGGCGCGGCACAGGCGGCACATCTGCGACCCCACCACCGAGAAGGGCAAGCAAATTAGCGCCGAAGACATGGCTAAGGTGGACATGGTGTAAGTATGATTGTATATAGCAAGGGATAGCATTAGGATCAGATTGAATTTCTATGTAATAATCACTAATATCCTTTACATTATTCATGCAGAAACAATCGCATTGTGAACATTATCGACAACACGAGCAGTGAGGAGGAACTTCAATCGCGCGCCGCCTTGGAGCTACAGCTCCACCGCAGCCGCAAGAAGACGAGTAACAAGCGACGCCGCCAGAAGGCCAACAAACAGATCATTCTGCCGCATGAGCTGGTGGAGATCTGGGACGGAGCTGAGGACGTGCCAAGCAGTGACGAGGCAGATGCCGACGGCGATGGTGATGGCGAGGGTGAACTACTGGCAGATAGCGACGAGTGCAGTGATGGAGCCACAAACCAATTGGTGCCCGCCGCCGTGCTGAAGCATCTCCAGGGCGAGGGACCCTATATACGGGCCATCGAAACAAACATAAGCGAGCTGCTCAGCGGCGCTGAGAACGATGGCAGCTACTCCTCTCCGATGAGCAACAAATCCGAAAAGAACCTGGCCGATTTCGATGACGAGGACGTATCGCCTTGCGAAGAGGAGCTGGCCCAGTTGGTGAGTTCCCGCGCCAATTGCCGGGACGTTCCACCGGCATTTGCCGCTGCAGCCGCCGCCATGATGGTGGCCCAGTCTGCGATGGCCCTTCAGAAATCCGGGGAATCGAACGTGGCTGCCGCTGCAGCTGCCGTAGCCGCTGCTGCGGCGGCCACCGGAAATGCGCAACAGACGCTGGTGGCCATGAATCGGCAGGCCAGCGTAGCCGCCGCCGCCGCAGTGGTCGCAGCGGCCAAGGCAAAGTCAGATTCTGATGTGGATCTGATGGAGGTGGCTGCCGGAGGCAAGCAGCACCACTCACCCAAAACGAGCCAGGGCAGTTCCACGTCCGGCGGTACTCCTGTGCAGCCCTCCTTCAAGCTGAACGATGTCTGCCAGCCGGGAAATACACTTCTCTGGGATCTCCTTCAGGATGATAAAATTGTAAGTTTAAATCCAATGATTGGGAAAACTATTATTAAAACCTTTAAGCAATACACCACTTATAATGATTACCTTGTCTTGCAGGGCCAACTGGGTGAATCTTTGGCGCTAGAGGCGGAGAAGGCGCTGGCCACGCTTCTGTGCTTCAGCATGGACCGCCAGCTGCGGACGAAGTTCATCGAGGGCTGCCTGTACAACGTGGCCAGCAACCGGAGTGTTATTGTCAGCCTGCGACTGCTGCCCAAGCTGTTCGCCTCGTTCCAGCAATTCCGACCCTCGGACACGCACTCGATGACGCTGTGGGCCGAACGGAATCACCGGATGATGCAGTGCTTCTTCAACAATATTCGACACTATGCGCGCCGCCATGCCGAGATACTGATTACCCAGAACGGGGAGCAACAGCAGCAGCAGTTGGGCGGGCAGCTCTATTCGCACAAGACTCAAGTCTCTGTGCGGCTGCAGTTCCTCTCCTCAATCTTCTCGACGGTGGGATCGCCGAAGAGTTTCCGCCTGACGCTAGAGCAGCTGGACGCACTGTGGGAGTGGCTGGCCCACGATCCGGAGTGCGCCGACTGCTACTTCTCGTGGCTGCAGGCGCAAGCCAAGGGCGGTGACCAGCATGCCCTGGGCATTGAGGCGCTGCAGCATTTGTATCTGAAGAAGCTGCCAGAACTGCGACCCGAGGAGTTTTCCATGGTGGCGTTGGGACTGTTCCAGCAGCTCTGCAGCTTCGCCCGCATCGCCATGGCGGAGTACGACAAGCACAGCGAGCAGATCTCGGCCAGCGCCAGCGCCGTGGGCATGTACCATCTGTGGAAGATCGCACTGCGCGCCCAGAGCAACGACGTCTCCTTGGCGGCCATACAGTACATCAACATGTACTACATGGGCCAGCAGCTGCGCCTCGAAAAGGAGTTCGTGTCCCAGTGCATGGAAAACCTGGTTCAAGCAGCCACTGCTCTAGAAAGGTGAGTAAAAGGTTCTAAATATAGGATTGGATTTAGTTTAATATTTATTGCTCAGTGTAATATAGTTGGTTAATCTAAAATACTAGTAGTCTCATTAACGAATGTTACTTTTCCTTGCAGTATCGATGATGACACTGCTCTGATGCGGGTGCAGCGCGGCCTGCTTTTGCTGAACACCCACCTGGACACTTTCCGGCGTCGATATGCTTTCCACCTGCGCCGCTGGGCGATCGAGGGCAAAGGAATCGGCTCTCACAGCAACCTGAAGAACGAGGGAGCGGGTCCTCCCCTGCGGATAGTCCTGCAGCAGGCGGGACTCTCGGAAAAGAGCCTGCTCCAGATGCACGCCTGTGACCTAATCGCAGACCTCAAGGCGGAGGTATCCAAGTGGTGGGAGAGCCTGCAGACGGGATTGGCAGCTCCTGTGCTCGGCCTGCTTCTCAGCGATGGACCGCTAAGGATTATCACCCAGGGCCAGGAACTGACCTCGGACTACGACGAACGAAGCCTCGGGGATGCTGGCTTCAAGGATAACCAGATCGTATACGTTTCGTTGGGAGGACGCGGCGCCAGGCGAAAGGAATCCAATCTGGAGCACCCATCAATGCTGCCGCCACCACCCAAGGAATGTCTGCCCACGGTGCTCCTCCTGCAACCCAAGTACTTCGAGAAGCTATTCTGCCTGATGCAGACCCTGGGGGATATGCAGCCGCAAGCGTCGTCTGTTAATCCGCAGCACCACACCAAGGCACAGTTGCTCTCCCGACGCGTGTGGGACATCCTTGCCATGTTGCCCACCAATCCGCACATCCTCGACGCCTTCAAGGGCCTGGTCACGGACCTCGGCGAGCTAGAGCAGCTGGATGCTGGAGGCGAAGAGGAGCAACTGGCCACCAAACGCAAGCAGATCAAGCAGAAGTTTAGGGATCTCCTCGATCCAAACAACCTGCAGAAGTTCATGTACTCGCTGCACATTGTGGAGAGCCTGGCTCTGACCAGTTCGAGGCGCGGCGAATCCAATGGCAGTGTGTCCACTGGCCACCCTCCGGAACAGATCCGGGTGAAGAAATCCTCGATGGGGAGGCGGCGAAATAGCAATGAGCAGCCACCACCCCCGCCGCTGGAAGCCAAGCATGGAAAGGAGCAACTGTGCGAACTGGAGGCTCCGCTGACGCCCACCCCCAATCCCGGCCTGCAGGACGCGGAGACGGAGGCCAGCAGCAGTAGCGGCGGCGACAAGGAGAACCAACCGAAGCAGCACAGCAAGCGGCAGAAGAAGAGCGATGCATTTGATCAGGAAAAGGAACGCCCAGTGGGCTGCTCCACTCCACCGTCCCCGGCTCCTCCTCCGCCGCCGCTGTCCGTGATGGAAAGAGGCGACAACAAGTGGAGTGAGGCCTTTGTCAAGTGCGGCGGTCTCCGGCATCTGTACGAGATCTTTAGCGGTGGTCAGCTGCAACAAAGTGCGCACCCCAAGGAGCTTGCCTTGAATGAATGGCGCCACGATTGCTTGGCCAGTCTGCTGCGCATCCTCTGGCTTTTGGGATTCGAGGAGCTACAGTCGCCGGATGTCCATGTTCTGATGTCGCGTCCACATCCGTTCATGCTGCAATTAATGGAGGTGCCGGAATGCCTGACACGTCTCTCATCGATCCTCAACGACGAAGTTCACCAGCAGCATCAGGCGTCCTCGGCCAACCCGCTGGTGTTCCCCTATCAGTTCCAGCACCTGCGCACAGGTTTCTGGGGCCGAGCGCAACTCATCCAGTTCGCCATAAACATCCTGGTGAGCTTTGTGCACGCCTCGGAGGAAGCAAGGAGGCTTCTGTGGGCCCAGTCGGACACAGATCACTGCCGTTGGCTGCAAAAGTTCATCCTGGAGGATCCGGAACCTGCGGTGCGACGTGAGATTTGCGCCGGCCTCTACCGCATTTGCCTTGGAAACGCACACAGCTATCGCCTCTTGTTGGCTCCACTGCTGCACAAGCTCATCGCCCTGCTGCCTTTGGCCGAGCAGATGAGCTCGGGCACCCAGCCCACGCAATTTCTGCTCTCCGAGGAGGGCAAGGATCCGTACGGCCCCGCCTGCCGGGATTACTTCTGGCTGCTGGCCAGACTGGTGGACACCCTCTCCCCGGAAATGGTGGCCGAGGAGCACATCGACATCGAAATGCTGTGCGAAAGCATCTCGCAGAGCATTCTCACCCGGGAGTATTTCGAGCTGCGTCATGGCTACCAGGACGATGGCTTAGTGGGTCTCCTGAACCTCATGTCCAACCTGATCAAGTACGACACCACCTTTAAGTACACCCCCAAGGCGTTGTCCTTTATTGAGCAGCTGATCGGCTTCCTGTTCGACATGCCTTCGCCGGCGGATCGGCAGAAGCCCAAATGCAAATCGGGAACCTCTCGAGCGGCAGCGTACGATTTGCTTGTTGAACTGTGTCGCGGATGCGGCACCAACTACGGCTATCTGCATGGTCGCCTTTTGGCACAGCACAAATCCGGACCCAAGCAGCCGTATCCTTGGGACTATTGGCCGCGGGATGAAGGCAGATCGGAGTGTGGATATGTGGGCCTGACGAATCTGGGAGCCACCTGTTACATGGCCTCCTGCGTCCAGCACTTGTACATGATGCCACAGGCGCGTGCGGCTGTCTTGAGGGTTCCACCCACCGCTGCCCGCAAGCACGGACCCACGCTCCTGGAGTTGCAACGGATGTTTGCCTATCTTCTGGAATCGGAGAGGAAGTCCTACAATCCGCGAAGTTTTTGCCGGGTGTACCAAATGGATCACCAGCCGCTGAACACGGGCGAGCAAAAGGACATGGCTGAGTTCTTCATCGATCTGGTGTCCAAGCTGGAGGACATGACGCCCGATCTGAAGCACCTGGTGAAGAGGCTCTTCTGCGGCTCCTTGAGCAACAATGTCGTCTCCCTGGACTGCGGTCACGTTTCTCGCACGGCCGAGGACTTTTACACGGTGCGCTGCCAGGTGGCGGATATGCGCAACCTGCAGGAATCACTGGACGAGGTAACTGTTAAGGACACGCTAGAGGGCGACAACATGTACACCTGCTCGCAGTGCGGCAAGAAGGTGCGGGCGGAGAAGCGGGCCTGCTTCAAGAAGCTGCCCCAGATCCTGTGCTTCAACACCATGCGCTACACCTTCAATATGGTCACCATGCTCAAGGAGAAAGTCAACACCCACTTCTCCTTTCCGCTGCGACTGAACATGTGCCACTACGTGGAGAAGACCTTGATGCCGCAGCAGTACAAGGAGGAGCGCGAAAGGCGCCAGCGGGAAAAGGAAGGTGCAGACGGTGGAGGCGATGAGAATGATAACGAAAAGGCGGAGGCCACTCTAGACGCCGACATCGAGGAGTGCTACGAGTGAGTTCTTTAGTTTTATATTTCTTTGCATTTTCGGTTAAAAACTATTTCGTATTTAAAGAAAAAAAGTCCCGATTTTTCGGCCAAAAATATCAGTTTCAGGGCTTTAGCAATACAAGTAATGATTAACCTATATTTTATGTGATAAATATTCTCACTTGCAGGTATGAGCTGGTGGGCGTCACTGTGCACACGGGCACTGCGGATGGCGGCCACTACTACAGTTTCATCAAGGAGCGCACGAAGACCAGTTACCATCCGCACGAGCGCTGGTTCCTCTTCAATGATGCCGAGGTTAAGCCTTTCGATCCATCACAGATAGCAGCCGAGTGCTTTGGCGGCGAGATGACGGTGAGTAGATTGGTGACTTCTTTTAAGTCCAATCAACACTTATGGGTTTCCTTCTGCAGAGCAAAACCTATGACTCAGTGACGGAAAAGTATCTAGACTTTAGCTTCGAGAAAACCAACTCCGCTTACATGTTATTCTACGAGCGTCGTCTGCCGGAGCATCTGCAGCGCCGGCATTCCGAGCTGCTGGTTACACCCACGCCCAGTCCCACTGTAGAGGAGAAATCCGAGGCCGAAGAGTCCACAAAAATGGAAACCAGCACCAGCGAGTCCAAGGCAGAGGTGGATGTGGAAGTGGAAGATGAGAAGAAGAAGCAGCCCGAGAATGAGTCTCAGGAAACCTCGGTGAAAGAAGAGTCCAAAGCCAAGGAGGATGAGCCCGAAAAAAAGGATCCTCCGACAGTAGAGACCGAAATAAAATTAGAGTCGGACAAGAAGCCCGTGGAGAAGACCATCGAGATCAAGGAGGAGGAAAAACCCCCAACAGCCAATTGTGATAATCATAAGCCAAGCAACAATAGCAACAGCAAAAGCAGCAACGATCAGCAGCCTTCCACGTCGAAAGCAGCCCAGAAGCTGCAACTATTTCGGCCACTGCTGAACAAGGAGCTCGAGGACTGGATCTGGCAGGACAACCGACAGTTCCTGCAGGATCGCAACATCTTCGAGCACACTTATTTCAAGTGAGTTGTCTTTTACTTTTGTCATATATTATTTCTCAGCAAATTCTCTGTCTTTAACAGCTTCATGTGGCAGATATGTGGGCACATACCACAGTCGTTAATTTCGGAGACGGATGTCACCTGCATGGCAGCAAAGTTGTCGGTGTCTTTCTTCATTGAGACCTTTATTCATGCCAAGGAAAAGGTAAGTTAGCCTGTTCAGTAAAACTGCCGAATCAAGTTATCAAGATACCTTGTTTAATTAGCCCACCATGGTGCCCTGGGTGGAGCTGCTAACCAAGCAGTTCAACGCCAGTCAGGAGGCCTGCGAGTGGTTCCTCTCGCACATGTCGCTGGAGCCCTACTGGCCTGTGCAGGTGCTAATCCAGTGTCCCAACCAAATGGTGCGTCAAATGTTTCAGCGCTTGGTTATCCATGTCATCCAGCAATTGCGGTTAGTTTGTCTAAAATGATGAGACTCTTTGTATTCTATTTAAAATGTTAAATATTCTGACAGCGCCTCACATGCGGATCTGTATTTGGATGTGGAGACGGATGAGGATGACAAGGAGTTGATTGGCCAGGCCTCGTGCGTCACCCGTTTCATCGGATCACTTATCTCGCTGCTGGAACAAGGAGCCCGATCGAATCTGCGCCACCTGTCCGAGTACTTTGGACTGCTCTGCGAGTTCTCACGTATGGGAGATGAAGAGGCCATGTACTTGTTGCGCATCGGGATTCTCAAGAGCCTGGTTGACTTCTATCTGGGTCACAAACAAACGGATAGCGTTAGTTGATCATGGTTTCTGTGTTTGATATTTGTTTCATTGATTTCCGTTTATCACAAGCAGATTGACATCAGCTCGGACAACGAAGACAACTCCTCGGATGAGGCGCTTTCCGTGGAGAAAATGCGCCCGGCCTCCCTGGACAAAATGATTGCTCTTTGCGCCAGCCTGGTAGAGAGATCACGGGGTCCCGACTTCCGTCTGCGGCTCTCGCCGAAAGACTTCACTGCGATCGCCGGCGGCAAGGTTATACTCAAAAAGCTGGAAAGCGTCGTCTATTCTGTTTAACCAGTTCACCAATCAAGCATGCCATTTCCAATACCAACCACTTCACCCATCCATCAGCACTGTTTCGAATCCGCATTCCCAAAAAAGTCAAGATAAAAATGCCATAAAATTCCATTTCTAACCGTGTTTCCTGTGGTCTAAGTTCCCTGCTCTTGTGTTAAATGTTTTGCTTATATTTCGTAGGGTTTTCCATTCTTGTACCAACAAATAAAGGACGGCATTAATCCGCACCAGACAAAGCATTTAATCCACGCCCTTTGTCGCTGGGACGAGCGCTTGGCCACCCAGATAATCGGGATGCTGTTCGCCTCGGTCACCAAGCACACAGAGCTGTGCGCGCCCTTCTTCAAGCTGCTCACCCTGCTCACCGAGACTCAAGGCGGCCCTGTTGGTCTGCCCTGCTTCACCCAGCTCATCCTACCGCGCATGTGGGACGCGGCCGAGTACTGTCCGCAGTCTGTGCTTGACTGGCTGTCGCTGCAAGCCACCAAGAACAAGATCGCCCACGCCTGGATCCTTCAATCCGCAGAGCAGTGGCTCGAGCAGTTCCTGCTGGCCCATGACAACACGCGTGTCCGGAACGGTATGATGTCGCACGACTCGATTGTGCGATTGTCCAGCTAACCCCTCTGTTGTTATTGCAGCTGCCGCCTTTCTGCTGGTGGCACTGGTGCCCTCGCAGCCTTTCCGGGCCAACTTCCGGGCGCATTCACAGCACAAACTGCTGGCCCTCAACCCGCACAGCTATCGGTAAGGGATTTAGAGGGAATAAGAATATATCTTTAGTACAAATATTTGCTTTTCTTTCCGCAGCGACATTAACAGCGATGCCCAGGCGGTGCTGCACCAGGTGATCACCCTGCTCCTGCGTCTATTGCGTCCTGCGCGCGTCTATGCGGATATCGGAGCCCATGGCACCACCAAGCTGACCGCCTACTTCAACCTGCTCAGCTATTGTATGGTTTCAAAGACTGAAAAACTAATGGCAAGTTTGGCAGCAGCGATTTCTCTTAATAATTCCGATTTTTACCGGACTAAACGGCCCCATCTTGTTGCCACTTACAGATAGGTTCGTTCATGCGCTCCCTGTGGGAGCTGTTTCATCCGCGACTCTCGGAGCCCAGTGTTCCGGCCCATCACAACAAGCACGCGCTCTTAACCTTTTGGCACCACTCGCTGGTGGACTGTCCAGAGAATGCTGCCCAGGTGGCCAACTGCCCAGAGATTACGCGCAACATTGCATTTAACTATATACTGTAAGTTTTTATTACATGCTTTGTTTAATTTATTGTTTTTTTTTCCTGGAAACTATGGCATGAATTTGTGCTTTAATGGTCCATTTTTATTTTCCAAAAAGGTTTTCTATTTGAATTTGTATTATACCCACTGATTAACCTTTAGGGCCGACCATGACGACGCGGAGATAGTCACCTACAACCGTTCCATGCTGCCCGCCTATTACGGACTGCTCCGACTCTGTTGCGAGCAGAGCCGTGCCCTAACCCGCCAGTTGTCCCAACACCAGAACCTGCAGTGGGCCTTCAAGAACATCACTCCGCATCCCACGCAGTACGCAGCCGCCGTAGATGAGCTCTTCAAGCTGATGGCCCTGTTCGCCACCCGCCATCCAGATGCCAGTGAGCAGGAGAAGCTGGATGTCACTCAGTTTAGGCGAGCAGTAATCGTGTCCTACACGAGCAGCCTGGATGCACGTGTCTCCTGGTCCACGCTGATCAGCGCCCTGAAAATACTCGGTGAGTACTTTTCAAAGTGTCCGAGGAATGGCATCTATATTAAAGAAATTTGTCTACAGTGGACAACGAGGAGGACCGCATCATGGTGATCTTCAACGGCGGCATTGAGATGTGCTTCGAGGCGCTGCACACGCTACATTCCATGCACCACGAGGCCACCGCCTGCCATGTGGCTGGGGACCTGTTCGACCTGCTGGGCGAGATGCTGCTCCTCCTGGCCACACTGCGCACGCGGTCGGACAGCCCGGCGCAGAAGAAGCAGCAGCAGCAACAACAGCAGCTGGAGCAGCAGTTGCAGTTGCAGCAGCAACAGATGTTGCAGAAGCAGCAGCAGCAGTCCCAGAGTCAAACGCAGACTCCGCAGACGCCGCAGCAGAAGGAAAAGCAGCTGCAGCAGCAGATGCAACAGCATTTGCAACTGCAGCAGCTGCAGCAGATGCAGTTCCAACAGCAGCATTTCCTACGCCAGCAGCACCAGCACTCGGCGCTGGCCAAGGCACTGCCAGATGCCGTGAAGCGACTGGCCACGCTTCTGAACACCTTCAATTCGCCGGAGATCAGCCGCATGGCGTTGGAGGTGCTCAAGGAGCTGGTGCGCAACACCAGCCTGGAGACCATCAGCATCCTGGCGCCCATCCTGATCAATTGCCATCTGTCCGTGGCCAATGCGCCCAATGCGATTGGTCCCCTGGGACCGTACTTCCCGCGCCGCGGTGCCAAGCACACGCCCTGGCCTTTGGGTGCCAAGAACTCGCCACGTCCGCCGCGACCCATGGTCCAGATGTGCATTGCTCTGGCGGAGCTGACGCCACGCGGTCTCGATGCAGACTACGACGTCCAGGTGGAGTCCTTCTACAGACCCTACCACGACTTTGTCGATGTCATGATGCGCATGTGCGTCAACACGGGCACGCTGAACGACACGCTGGTCAAGCTCCAATGCCTGGTGGCCATCGAGTCGACGCCGCTGCACTTCAACTATTTCCCCAAGTTCTGGGTGGGCATACACAACAATGCACTGACGCACAAGTAAGTAAAAATGAGTGAAACTTTGACAGTATTTTAATCTCCTTTCCTTTCCTTAGATACGTAGAGTTGCTAGTCAAGAATCAATTGCTAGTAGAGTACTTGCACAATGTCCTAAGGGACGAACGCAGCATGCTGAAGGATGCCTGCGTGCGCGAGTTTCTAGAGCTCTATTACCACAAAGTGGCCGCCCAGCTGCCGGTGGCCCGTATGATCTACACGATCAATTATGGCATGCACTCAAAGGACGACATCGACGAGCTGTGCGGCGATCTGTTTGCCATCCGCATCATTGCCCAGGCCACTGGAGTGCCGGCCTCAGTACGCAAGGAGCTGCGAGGATCTCTGAGGGCACTTCAGAACAAGAGCGAGAGGTTCAGAAAGGAGTCAGAGCGGGGTAAGTACTTATATGACTAGCCTTCTTCAGCTTACCTAATTGTCAGCCATCTCAAATGCAATGTGTTTTATAGATCCTTTTCCAAACAAAAAGCTGAAACGTGATTCTCAAAAAGACAAAGAGAAGGATCAGACGCAGTCGGATGGTGAGAACGCCGCCCCAACTGATGCTGACAAACGATCAGACGTTTCAATGGAGTCCGGCTGCTTCTCGCAACCAGTGACGGACGGCACCAAACCACCCACTCCCGCTGGCAGCGACGATGAGCAGATGGAGAAGACGTCAATACCGTCGTCCGATGACGAGACCGAGCTGGAGGATGAGCTGGAGCCGACGCCCAAGCGCAACAAGAAGGCGTCGAACAAAAAGACCGCCCAGGATCGGCTTAACGAGGAGCGCGAAAAGCGTTTGATTACGCTGATCACCATGGAATCGTACATCCAGAGCATTTTTGCAATCCTCAAGCGGGACTCCAGCGTGCCCAGTGCGGGGGCCACTAAGGAGCCAAATGAGGAGTCGTGTGGCGAAGCCTCCACATCGGCGGCCGCAGCTTCGAAGATGTCCCGACCCAAGGGAGCCTGTACGCCACCCGAGCCAATGCCCGAAACGAGCGACACTCGGTGCCACATGGAGACGGAGACTGAGGCGGAGGAGAAAACGTCAAAGACAAACGGCAGCCAACCGACCGAATCCCCGCCGGCGGCCAACAGTGGTGACACTGCCCCCACGAATCCCTCACCCGCTCCGTCGGCAGCGGTCGCGTCCACGTCCCAGGCAGCCAGTCCTACACAGATTTAGTTGTCATTCAACGATTTGCTCAGCATTTTGTTTTTCGGCAAGCCACTGGACTGATAATGGGCGCCGGGGGCTGACCACGGCTGAGCTCCTAACCTGTAAGAATTTTGTGGCCAAAGGTCAATGTTAGGTACATGTAAGCAAAGGCAACCCAAGGTTGGTGCTAAGGGTTGGCTTGGAGGCGAACCCATCCACACACACAAATCGGTCAGAGTAATGGCAGAGCGACACAAGCTATATAGACCCCATCCGATTTCCCTATTCTAGGAAAGATAAAGTGCTACAAATACTACTTTCCGAGTTTAACGAGAACGGGAATTGGAAACGGGTTTGGGGTTAATAGATACTTAGTTAAGCTTAACAACAAATAGTAATATAACACACACATTCAAGCCCTGCACGCAAACACCCCATAACCATACCCGACCGGCACCCACATATATTCAATATATAGCGATAAATGTAACTAAGTTAAGACTACCTTGCACGCAACGTCCCCCGCAGAGAAGAACCCGTAAAAGATCCCCTTTCAAATGGTTAGTTAAGAAAAAAGTTTAAACAATCCACTCGAGAAATTTGTTATGCCAAAAAAAAACAGAAGGAAAGCGGTAAAGCGGTTAAACTAGAGGCAGCATTAGGACTACAAATTTGATGTTTGAACAAGAGCAGTTGAAGAAGATCAATAAAACGGCTTACGAGACGCTAATATCTATATATGTTGTATTAGATCCATTAAGTATCATTTATAAAGCGATGCTAAGAACATATTTGCTTACCCCTTTCTCTCGCCTTTCCCTCCCCGAATGCACCCATAAACGATATGTTAGAAATGAACAGATATTATAATAATAGAACTTAACGAAACATTTTAAATACTGGATGTGTTACAATATGTCATAATCATTTTCAATGTAAATCGCATAACGCAAACCAATCGAACAGTTTTTAGTTCACGTCCGATAGGGATAAATGTAATGTTTAGCACGTAAGGATTGTAGAGCGTTGTTGTCCCAAGTGAAACACAACAGGACAAAAATGATAACATTAAATAAAGTAAACTGGCCAGCCCCGAAAAGGGTCGCGTATATTGATAGTTTTAAGCTCACAAACATAAGCGATCGAAATCCACACAATGTAATGTTGAGAAACAAAAAAGAACCCAAATCTAAATCACACCCAAACAAATCATGAGAATAATAAGTTTAAATGATATGTAATTGAAACGACTGGAATGGTATTCATTGGGCGGGTTTTCAATTTTAACCTGTTGCTGTTTAAGGACGAGGGTTTCTATTCCGGTTTTCTTAATCACGCATGCGCTGATTTTATTGTCAAACTCCGGACAATTGTCACCCCTAGTATCAGTCTGAAAATTCAGTGTTTCATTCGGTTATAAATTAGAAGTACAAACGATTTCGAAAGAAAATTTCTTTAAAAATGCCGTGTGTTGGATGTGAAAAAGGTGAGTTTGGATATCCATAAACAAATTGCTGGCATAAGCCACTGCATTTTCAATTCATAAACTCGGCGATGGGGTGCATATAAACCGGGTGATTCATACGATTTGTATACCCTTGCAGAAGGTATTGTAATATTTGTCAGATCTTTGTAACATAGTGAAGGATATAGCTATGTCTGTCTGATTTATATTAGTTTTATTTTAGTCATGAAACTTTCGCAGTCTTTTTGCATGTGTACGCAGATCAAGTATATAAACGTCGCTAATCAGACGTCTATATCCTATGGCTCCTATATTCCAAAAACCGAAGCTCGAATAGGTATGGCATTTCAGCATTTCACCAATATTTTTCAAAGTTTTTCATAAAAAAACCGCAAAATAAGTTGATTTTCCGGATCCTCCGGATTTCGCCATTTTTCATAAGGGGTTAGCTTATCTTTTTTGGCGAAAAATCGAAGAAAATGAAATTTGTTAGCTGTGAATGCCATTCAATTGAAAATTTTATAACGAATTCAACGAGGTATGGCATTCCATCGTGCGCCCATTATTTTCCATGGTTTTGATCAAAAAAACGAAATTAAAGTGGATTTTTCCGGATCCTCCGGATTTCGCCATTTTTCATAAGGGGTTAGCTTATCTTTTTTGGCGAAAAATCGAAGAAAATGAAATTTTTTAGCTGTGAATGCCAATCGATTGGAAATTTTATAACGAATTCAACGAGGTATGGCATTCCATCGTGCGCCCATTACTTTTCATGGTTTTGATCAAAAAAACGAAATAAAAATTAATTTTTTTGAGTTTTAAGTACCAGGCCAACAGAAAGCTCAAAAAGTGACTGGGTATCTAAGCAAGTTGCGACTGATCAGCTCTTCTATTCGTAATGGCTGTCCTTTTCATAATGGCTGTCCTGATCATAATGGCTGCCACACAGCGGACTCCATTGGTCGCCCAATGGGTATCGCTCTTACAGAATAACAGCCGTTAGTTTTCTTTATGCAGCAAGAGCTTAGGCAGCCAGAGCAGGGATTTGGGGTCCAAAAGCCCCCAAATAGCGATTTAATCCCCCTTTGACAAATTCTGACAACGCATTTGCTAAACGCAGAAATCTGAAATTTGGACACTTACTAACGATTATGTTAGCCTGGTGTTTGAAATCGAAAAATCAGCTTTGGCTTGTCAAATTGGACCGGCAAAATCCTATTTTTCCCAAGCAAACTAGGCAATTTTTGATTTTGAAGTACTCGGGGAACAGAAAGCTAAGTAAGTGTCCAGAATATGAGCAAATGTCGACAGATCAACTGTTAGTGTTATAATGGCTGCCATACCACGTATTCCTATTGGCCGACCAATAGGAAGCAAGTTCTCTGGAAGGATACCGTAAGCTTGAAACTAAGCTCAAAATAGAGATGGGAAAACTGCTTGTCTTCTTCTTCCGTTTGCATGCAAATGGATGACTGCTTTATATCATTTCCTATCCAAGCTATCAATCCCTATAGCTGGCATATGTATTTTCCCGCAGTGCAAGGGTATTATAACTTCGGCTTGCCGATGTTAGCTTCTGCTTTCGTATGATAAATTACTGATCAATTTTTCTTCGCAGAATGCAAATGCACTCCCGAAAGGTGTTGCGAAAGCTGCAAGTGCCAAAATCCCGGACAATGTGGATGCAATTCCTCGAAAGCCTCCTCCTCGGGCGGATGTTGCAAGAAGGGAGGCGACACCGCTGGAGGCGATGCCAAGGGAAAGTGCTGCGGAGGCAAGAAGTAGAAGCCAAAACCCATTTAATGCCAGAGAAAAATGCTTTTTCGTTCCATTTATTTTTCGATGGCCATAACTGCTAGTGAGCTGTTATTATTAAATACATTTATTGTTTAATCGAAACAAAACCAAGACTTCTATACTTTTACTGCACAAGATAAACTAATGACCTATACCAGCATTGCGCCTTTGTGTTCAACTTTAATTGGTGGCAATGACGTGTTTTTTTTTTCTTTTTTCTTTATTTTTTTTGTAAATTAATTTTAATAACAAAAGGTGGCAAAATGAGGCGCTTAGCAAACCAGCCAACAACAATGTGCACTCTGTTTATACATAGATTGCTTATGGAATTCTATACCAAAGATGAGACAAGATGGAAAGGCAAGGTGTAAGGGTATAAGGGGGTTTACGCCTTAGATGGACAATTAAACAAATTAAATTCGTTAGCGATTTTTTATATTACAGCGTTAAATTTCATATATCTGTTTCAGACGCATATCGTATGTAAAAACAATTTAAAATTTCACTTCTAACAGACACGAGCCAGTTACTAAAGATGCACTTACTTTAAGTATACGTAATAAAGACCATCTACACTTCAATTAATGCAATATAAAAACAACTTCCTTGTAGGGCAATTAATAGCTAGACGATTTGTGTTTCTGGTTCTCTCACACTATAGAAAGTTTTAGATTTTTACAAATTAGAGGGGGTCGTCCTTTCAAAAATGGATCCTAGAGAGGCTCGTACCATTCTACTGGTCCATGGACACTTAATTGCGCTTCGCTTTGCGCTTTTTGCGACTATTTGGCGCCTGGGAAGAGGATGGGGCCGCTGGACTAATGTAGGTGGCTTTGGCCTTTTCTTCGTTGCTGCCGCCGAACTTGCGCCAGATGTTGTGGATGAAACCGTCGGCCTCATTAATGTTGTTGCTCTTGTTTGATTTGTATGCCACATTGTTGTTGTTGTTATTGTTATTATTATTATTGTTGTTGTTGGTGGTTACTGGCGGCGGCGGCGGCTGCGACGGTACCGGCTGCTGCTTCCTGTGCTGCGCTCCCTGGGCGTATTCTCATGAGCGCTTCACCTTGCCATTGGACGCGTTCACAGAGTTTTGGGAGCGGTAGGCGGCAGCTCCGCCTCCGCCCACGGCCATTTCGGTCGCATGAGTGGCCACGTGCTGAATGCCCTTCTCCATGCAGCCGTGGTAGATTGGCCGCATAAACTGCAAATTTAATAGGGATTAATATCTGCGAATCTTGTTTGGATTTCCATTTACTTACCCGCTCCCACATGAGCGTGGCAAAATCATCCAACTTGCCACCAAAATCGCTCAGCTCGCCGCTGTATCTATAATAAAAAAGAGATAAATAGCAATGTGAAACCACCGGATTAACAACTAATGGCCAGACCTTGCCCTATTTTTAAGAAAAATGTAATGGCTCCCCTCAAAATAACCTACCTGATGTAGGCCCACAGAGCCAATGTAAGCAGCGCCACTCCCATGACCAGGTTGCAGAAATTGGCGAACGTGTAGATACCAACCAAGCCGAAGATGCCGCTGAAGATGTACATGATAACGGCGCAGGCGAAGTACACCGCCGGGGTGCGGGCCGCCTTGAAGATGTTCTTGCTCTCGTTGTGCGCCCGATAGTTGACAAAGACCTCCTCGAGATCGTCGTCCAGCTGCACGCGGTACTTCTCGGTGAACTCCTCGCCGCCCATCTTGCGCTTGGTGGCGAACTGGAACAAAGCCTTGTCCTTGACCCGCAAGTGCTCCGTCTCCAGGTGGGCGGTGCTTAAGTACGGCCGCGTGCCTCCGCACACCTCCTCCATGAGCTGATTGTACAGCTCCTTGGCGGCGGCTACGGCGGTAAGGTGATTGGCCTCGGCGGTGGCCACCAGCATGCTCTTCGGCTCGGGCAGCTCGTTGCCCTTGTATATGCGCATGTACGACTGGAAGTACTGGATGAGATCGCGGGCCCGCACTCTCTGGCCGCTGATCTCCTTGTAGACCAGATTGTCCGGCGCCAAAAGCATGGGCACCAAGGTGCGCAGGCTATTCTTGAATTCGGGCGTGATGTCCTGCAGCCTGCCGTCAAACTTTGGGTTAGTGGCCACGTTAAGGCCGGGATGTGGCATGAGGAAGCAGGCCACCTCCGTGAAGCACGACGAGATGTGACGGCGGAGGGACTGCAGTTCCGGGTGCTGTTTGTCGGACACTTCCAGCCGCCGCTTCAGTATCTTGTCGCCGCCCAGCGCTCCGTACTCAGCCTCGTAGGGAAAGCTCCAGTCGCGGACGAGGAACTGCAGTCGCTGGAACGGCTTTTTGCCGGTGTCGGCCAGCGCCAGACGGCCGTACTCGGTGAAGAGCTGCAGGTGCTGCAGGTCGTCCTCCTGGATGTTCTGTGACAGGTTGTAGATCTGCACCGAGGACAGCATTGTGCTCAGTGCGAAAACGGTGGCACAATCGCGCACCGTGCTCTGGCTGTCGAAGGCGCCTTGTGTGTCCAGCAGGATGATGGCTATCTTGTCGCCGTTGGGATAGTCGTGCAGGAATATGTCTGACCACATGAGGATGCCGGTGGTATCGCGCTCGGAGCCGCCGCGCCAGGAGAAACCTTCCAGGGGGTCTGACTCGCCTCCCAGCCAATCCGTCGCATCGTGGTGCACGTACTGGGGATAGAAAGGTGGTCTTAGTAGTGATTGACAAAATATGAGGGTCAGGACCAACCTTTGAGTACATGTAGCGCAGAAAGAAGTCCAGCAGGAAGCTCTTGCCCTTTCGGAAGGCTCCCGCCACAGAGACCACGCAGACGAACCGGTCCTTGACCTCATCGCGCATAAGGACCTCGCTCAGCGCCTCCTCGTTGAGCACGAAGGTGTGCTCCTCGGAGGCGTTGATCACCTGCACTGCCGAGCCGCCCATTCTCGAATCCTTGCCTGCTATCCGGCTATCCTGCTGTCCTTGTGTGTTTTCTGTGGCTGAGTGTCTGGCTCCGTTGGAGGATTTCTTTCCGATTTGTTACTCTTTTCGAATTCGGCTTGTCAACTGCAAACAAAAACAGACAGCTAGGGTAAGTAAGGGCAAAATGTTTACTATGCTTTTCAGCGAATTTTCCATTTCCGGACCGGGGGAAAAACGCGAGTCTGGGCTAACGGTTAATTGCGCAAGCCTCTGCGAGTTCATTTAATTTTGGCACAGCCACGAGACACGAGCGACGGGCAGAAAGGCCTGCAATTATGAGAGGTGGCCAAAAATAAACCCAACCATGCGCTGCTCCGCGATGTCTGCTTTCAGAAGATGTCAGCGGCAGCCGCAGCATGTAAGCGGATTGTTCAGGTGCGTGGGATATATGTATCTATACCCAAGTACTTTGTATTTTCTACGTGGGCTGAAAGCAATATCGTTAGTGATCAATAACTGAGGGGAAAATTTGTTAAGACGCCTCAATAAGAAGAAAAGACAGGCATAACAACTTTAGTTATCAACCTGGTTACTTGTTAATATTATTGTATAGTTAAGTTTTAAAATTTATATTAAACATATGTAACATAAGAAAATAAAAGTATGCCCTCAAATAAGCCAAAGATCATTGGATGCAATCCATAATAGATCGCTAGACAATTAATATCTAAATGTAACCATAAATTTTAAGTATTAAATTATGTTTTTTATAATTACTGACCAAAAAATCAGGCTGAAGTACTGGTATTATTATCGTATGTGTAAGTACTTATATGAAATTTTGAAATGAAAACAAATTAAGGTGTTGAAAAATTAATTTAATTGTCACGTATGCAAACATCTGATGATGGAACTGCAATCGAACAAAACAGATTCCACAGAAAATTATATCGTAAGCTTTTAATTATGGAAAAATTTAGTATTCTTCGGAAACCAAACCAAATGAATAACTTGGATAATTTTCGGTCAACAATTTTAAATAAAATTCGTTTAACTAAAAGTTGATGATTAAAATTATTTTCGCTTTCTTGATGTTTAATTGTTAGCCAGGTCACTTTTTCAGATAAATAAATGGTCGCAGAAGTTCACATGTGGTATATATTGTATATTTGGAGGTAGTAAAGATAATAAAGTCTGTTTTTACTTTGAAAAACTAGAAAACCGTTCTTCTCAGCTGATAAAATCGATCTTAACGTTTTGTTTAGAACCAGATCACCGTTTCGTTTCCGCTTTGAAGGATTTTACCGGCCCAAAAATATTATTATTATTCCGAATTGGGTAAAATATTCAGCACAATTGAATGTTTGACTGTAAACGTGCGGAGCACATTAAAATTAATTTTGTTAGCTGCGCCGTGATGACGTCGACAACTTTTGTCGCGCTACGCAGTTTGACCACTTGGATTCTAATTGAAAGCGCAGTCGAAATAAAGAGAGCGTGCTACAAAAACAATCGGGGAATTATGCCAACCACGCGATTATCACCTGTCTCCCAAATAAAAGTGATGCTGAGGCTTAATTGAGTTTGATTCAGATGCGGAATGGGAATTTATAAGTAAAGACACGACCAGCGCGACTGTCAACCAAATCAAACTGCAGCAACAACACGCAAGCCACCGCTTACTCAATGGAATAGTGGAAAGAGAGCGGCACTCTCTCTTTCTCGATCGTCTCTCTTATTGGGGGCCCACATACAAAGAGAAAGCAAGAGAGGGGTGGAGAGAGTAGAGGTGTACCTGTAGCTGCAAGAAATTAGAAAAATTACACCTACTTAATTAACACATTGCCGCTTAATTAAAAGGAATAATTCTTTTGACAAAAATATGTTGGCGCGCAAAAACAAAGATTTCAAATTCAAAACCTAAACACAGCTGGCAATGCTACTAAGCTAAGCTTGTCCAGCATGTGTGGGAGCAGTTCAGACAGACGCCACCGATCGACAGATAACTTTAGTTGTCTCACTTGCTCTTCTTTGAGCTTGCCTTAACAGACGATGTAAACAAAGGTGTTGGAAAGTAACAGCAACAGTTGTGCAGCCCGCGTCGACGTCGGCAGAGCGATTAGTCAACTGGAAACATGGTTGCCGAGAGCAACAACAACTGGCTCGCTCAATAACAGAACAGCCAAAGAAGAAGAACAAACGCTGAAAATGTTGAGCGGGGAAAAAGAATAAATGTTTTTAATTTGCCTAAATAGTCTGCCCGTGAAAAGTGTTTAATTGGACCCCTAATCCCAGGCGGATATCAACCATCCGGCGTGCAGGAGCTGCTCATTCAAGATTTACAAGCCATGGAATTCGGTTTGAGAAGCGGACACCGCCCATTTCGGATTTGGCTTTCCAGCTGCCTCGTGGCCATGTGCTTGTGCCTTCCAGGAGGAGCACCTGCCCCACAGGAAGCATCTTCCTACTACTACGTGGGCTGCTATACGGCGCGAACGGACCTGTTTTACGAATCCGTGTACGCCAAAACGCCGCAGACCTGCATCGAAATCTGCGAGCATCAGGAACACCCCTACGCCGTTTTGTCCGGCGAAAAGTGCTTCTGTGCGAATCTCCTGGAGCCGATGCACCTGCAGGACGAGCAGCTCTGCAACACCCGCTGTGTGGCTAACAAAGCGCAGTATTGCGGAGGCGTCGGTGTACACTCGTACTACTCCACCACGGTGACCAAACAGCCGGCGCCTCATCATCTGAGGATATCCAACAGAACGGAGAACAGCCTGACCCTCAAGTGGGATGCCTACGAGGCCAGTAAACTGCTCCTGGCCGGCGGCGCAGAGGCAGTGCTGCCCAACCAGCTGCTGGAAAAATTCCTGATTCAGGCTCAAGTTATAAAGACCTACTCCTCGCTGCCCCCCTTCCCGCTGCCAGAGCTCATTGTGCAGAGCACGGAAACGGAGGTCGAGCTGACGGATCTGCATCCTGCCACTCTGTATAACATCACCGTGAGGGCCAAGTGTCGGGGACCGCAAACTGTACTAACAGAGTGCGGCCAGGCCTCCTTAGAGGCCCACACAGAGGTATGTTCTGCATGTATAAAGAAGATAATCCTAACTAACCCCCTTAATACATCAAATTTTAGGTGGGTCAGCCAAGTCCCGCTCCACCGCCGCCCAAAATCCTCAGCCGCACCGATCGCACCATCACCATAGAGCTATCGCCCATTCGCAATGACAATGGACCACTGAGTAAACTACTTGTCATTGTGGAGTATGTAGACGATGCGCTGAGTCAGCCATTCGATTCACAGCTCCTGGGCAGCTGGCTGCAGGCGCAGCAGGACGGAGTGCCTTACTACATAGCCGCCGAGTTGGACTACGATCGTCCGGAGGACAACCGCAAACGGCAATTTGTGGTGGGCGATGGCAAGCTCTATGGCCGATTCAGCAATAAGCCGCTAGACCAGCCAAACGCACATGTGCATATAAGTCTGGGAGTGGTGAGTAATGAACAGCTTTTTGTGTGCTAACTACTTCAGAACTTTTTAAACTCAAATCACTATTTCTCACTAAAACAAACATCCGTTTAATTTAATATGCTTTTCTTAAAACATATACTCATTTGCACTAAGCCACACTAACTAAAACCATTACTTTAATGTTAGTCTATACAAATATCTAAACTTGTAAATATTATTGCTTGAAAATTTGATTCCGTTAAGCGTTTGTTTCCTAATACAACAAAGATGTAAGAGATATATATAACAAACAAATTTCTCATACTAACTTTTGGGACGAAAAATAATTATTAATCTGACTAAACAAAATACTACACTTTCTAAGAATTTAGGTTTGCTCCCTGGTGGAGCATGTTAGTTTCTTAACTAAAACGCTGCTTAATCTTGCATTGTACCGAATGAGTAATTGTTAGAATATGTAGTATTTGTTTATTCGAGTTACTAATCATTTCTCTTCTCATATTTTGAAATGCTTCATTTCAACAGGGAAATGGAAAAGGGTTATGGAAAACATGTTCTACTATTTGAATTATGTGAATGTTAGGATTAAAAATGTAACTTTTCAACTAGTTTGTAAGTGAATTTTTGTCAATTAGCCATGTTAAATACCTTTTAAAAGATAATACTTAAAAATGCAATATAGACATTGGGGACGGGGAATATCACCAACACTTCTTATTCAGCAAACTTGCACTTTTGCACTTTTCCTCCTAAGCTTGTTCGCTCCCTATATCACTGCATCTTAGCAGATTTTTAATTCTGCGTGTAGATATAGTAGTCGCTTTGCGTACACTGCCGGTTCACTTCTACAGTGATGTAAAACCTATTAACTATTCAATTATTAGGTAAGCACCCTCGAGGGCGTCACCAAAACGATGTACAGTCGTGGAACCCACGATCAGCATGTGACTTCCCTGGACGACTTTAGCTACGCCACCTTCGAGAAGGGTCAATCCTCAGTGGTAGCACTGGCAGTGACCTGCGTGATCTTCGGCACCTGCCTCTTGATCAGCCTGATCGCCTACTTCTATCTGCGCTATAAAACTTGCCGAGGACGAAGATTAACCGGAGGCAATACCCATGAGATGACGCTGCAGACGCCAATCATCGAAAGGGAAAACAATGGTTTCCTGGTTGAGGACGATCCACCGCCTCACTCGCTGGAAAACTTTAAGCAGCAGTTGCAACTCTTGGTGGAGGGATTTGAGCGGATACCGAGGAATGCACTTCGGCTGAACGTCAACGATGTGGTCGGAGATGGACTCTTTGGCGAAATTATAACTGGAAAGGTGTCGACTAACGATTTTGCAAGAGATTGTACTCTGCACGTGCTCTGCCTGGATGATCTGAATGGAAGTACTCAGGCCCAGTTGCTGCGGGAACTTCGTCAGATATGCCACTTAAAGCGACAGGAGCACGTACTGGATTTCTATGGAGTGTCTGCAAGTCCAGATTGGTTTTACTTAATCTTCGAGCAGCAGCGAGTAAGTCTCAAGAGAAGATTGGTGGAGAGTCGTCTGATGGCACCTTCGCCACGCCTCACATCGCTCTCCGAGCAGATGGTGCTGCAGTGGATCTACGAGCTGGCCAGTGCCATGTCATATCTATCCAGCTGCCAAGTGGTGCACCGGCAGCTCTGTTCGCACAGTGTCTTCGTGACCGGCGACTCCAGGCTGAAGCTTAGCGTCTTTGGACCGCTGCATTATATGTCACCCAATCGCCAGCAGCCGGATCAGAGTAGATGGCTAGCTCCAGAGGTCTTGCGCCACCAGCATCAGCACTCCTCCCGCTCCGATGTGTGGTCACTGGCCTGCGTGGCCTGGGAATGCTGCTCCCTGGGCGGAACTCCATATGCCAATGCAGTGGGCAGCAACCAGCAGCTTCTCGAGGCCCTCCGGGCTGCAGTTCGTCCCGCACAGCCCGCCTACGTGTTCGGGGATCTCTACCAGCTGCTGCTCAACTGCTGGCAGCTGGAGCCGAGCGAGCGGAGCAGCTGCGAGGACGTGGCCTTCGGAGTGCGTCAGCTTATGACCTCACCACGGCATGCCCTCAGCTTCGATCGAGTGGCGGGCGGACTGGACACCCTGCCCCCGTACCTGCCGCAGCTGGAAACGATTGCGCTTCTGCACTGAGGTGCAGCCGGATAGAATAATTAACTTTAGTCGGTAGTGACTCATTCCAGCTTAGAGAAAATATCTCTTAGTATTAAATTCAGTTTTGTTCTTAGATAAGTTTACAATTGATTAGTAATGAGATTCTGGCTAAGAGAAATACAGCTTGAAAATCATTTGTTGTATAATTTACAGCCGGTATTGATTGAATAAAATCGTTAAACTTTAAGTAATGTCTTGAATTCTTCTTTAATAATATTAATAAGTAAACAGCTAAGAAGTTTGTGACTAAGCGGGTAGCAAACAAACCTAATATTAGGATATTTTTAATAAAAATCTTATAATGACATCAAGGGATGTCTCTTTAAAATTTATCATTTAACTCTCCTAGTTTGAAATCACTATAAGTCAAATTACGTAGGTATAACAACAACATAAAGTATAAGTAATCAGTTTTTACTCCAAGCACTTTATTAGTTGCACTGTTTTTAGATAGTGGTTAGAGCTGTATTAGCCCGACACTAGTATACAATATTTTGTTTTCATAATAGAAATTAGAATCCAAGTCCCTCTTGACTGACATATTAAATATTGCTTGAAACCATGTAAATATTTACATGCCATAGTCAATTGAAGCCTTGTTTTATGTCACAGATCGTATCTATAAGGTAGCTAATAGCTAATCTACAACCCAAAACAATAGAAACGACTTTCCCCACGCGAAACAAAGTTCAATCGAATGTGCTCGATAAAGAGCGAAAGATAAAGAGACTACTGACAGGCCCGGCGTCAAAATTGTGTAATAAAATTCGGATGAATGGCGAATGGATCTCCTACCAGACTGTGAATCCCCACTGGTGTTGCACAAACCGAGCAAAATCAAAAACTGAGCTAAAAACGATGAGAGAGAGGGCCAAACTTTGATCGCTGGCGAGCAGAAATTAATAATAGAAAATAAACGACGGCGCTGCACAAGTGTGTGTGGATCAAAATTGACGATTAATCAGTTTAAAGGTCTTGCACTGCATCTATTGTTTGCGATGTTGTTTAAGAATTAATTAGAGAAATTTTGGCAGCAGACGAGATTCTGTTAGATGCTATTAGTCATATAAAAAGAGTAGGGCACTTTATATGGTATATGTATGAATTGTTTAGGCCATAATCTGAAAGTGGCAGTGCACAGAAAAATATGCAGGTCGATAATAATATCAGAATAAGCAGGTCATATATTTACAGTGACAAACTTAATTATTGGCACAGCAAGCATGTTAAACTTTGAGGCTATTTTTCTTCTTATAATATGCTGATATTAAAATAAAACAAAATATTTTTAGATAGAATCATTAATTTTTTGTTAAATACAAGTGACTTCATTAATTTATCTTTTATAAATAATTTATTAAAAATAAAAAACCAAAGAATGGACCAAATTTGCCTGAACAAAATTATTGGCACACTTGGGTTTTAATTAACTATTTTATTAAAACTTTATCGATTTGCCCACTTTTTTTTAATTATCACATTTGCCTCTATAATCTTAATGGTATAATGATTAATTTTATAGCAAAAATTGTTTTAGTGCCTTAAAATAAAGGAAAAGTTGTTTGACTTTACAAGGTAAAAATAAAATCAACCGCATGTGTCCAAAAATTAAAATTTAATAAGCAGGATCAATGCAAATCGAAAGTAAACATTGGGGAAAGGATGCCCAGAAGCCATTTTTCCCATTCGGAGTCCTTTGCCGGATTTAAAGGACCCACGCAGTTGCAAAATGCAGGGCACACTGGCTAATCCATGGCTTTGAGAGGCCAGGAAAGCGTAAGGATCGTATAAAAGGACAATGTCAACCCCCAGATCTCCTCAACACGTATCGAAGTTGATGATAAGAAGAACTTTGGTAAGGATATTCACCCAACAGCCTTTTTTCAGGCCCTGCATGATGGTTTCTACAAACGAATTGAACCTAGAAAAAATCAATAGATTTTAAAAGTCAAAAACAACCTTTTAGTGCAGGGAAATTTATATCTGAGTATGCCAATCGACTTTTGGGTCCTTTCAACCTTCTCGTATGATTTAATAATCCTTTCCCCAAGCAAAGAGCTTATGTTAGAACCCTTTTCAAGCCGATGGATTTTTTCTAGGAGCAATTCATTTGTAGAAACCATCATGCAGGGCCTGAAAAAAGGCTGTTGGGTGAATATCCTTACCAAAGTCCTTCTTATCATCAACTTCGATACGTGTTGAGGAGATCTGGGGGTTGACATTGTCCTTTTATACGATCCTTACGCTTTCCTGGCCTCTCAAAGCCATGGATTAGCCAGTGTGCCCTGCATTTTGCAACTGCGTGGGTCCTTTAAATGCGGCAAAGGACTCCGAATGGGAAAAATGGCTTCTGGGCATCCTTTCCCCAATGTTTACTTTCGATTTGCATTGATCCTGCTTATTAAATTTTAATTTTTGGACACATGCGGTTGATTTTATTTTTACCTTGTAAAGTCAAACAACTTTTCCTTTATTTTAAGGCACTAAAACAATTTTTGCTATAAAATTAATCATTATACCATTAAGATTATAGAGGCAAATGTGATAATTAAAAAAAAAGTGGGCAAATCGATAAAGTTTTAATAAAATAGTTAATTAAAACCCAAGTGTGCCAATAATTTTGTTCAGGCAAATTTGGTCCATTCTTTGGTTTTTTATTTTTAATAAATTATTTATAAAAGATAAATTAATGAAGTCACTTGTATTTAACAAAAAATTAATGATTCTATCTAAAAATATTTTGTTTTATTTTAATATCAGCATATTATAAGAAGAAAAATAGCCTCAAAGTTTAACATGCTTGCTGTGCCAATAATTAAGTTTGTCACTGTATGTATTTCAATTAATTAGGACTTTCGTGTAAAATGGTTTGATATGCAAAATAATCAAATTGATCACCATATCATATAACAATTTCTCTCTATGTGACTGGCTTATCTGGGGATCCTTCTTATGAGCCGATAAGCAATAGATTGTCTTGTCGACGTGTAACCACTGGGGCTACTGGGGTCCAGAGCACATGGTTTTAAGCCAATTCGAAAGACTTTCTGTAGAGTATATAGTAAATGGAGCGCAACAATATCCAATTGCGACTTTTGAACGCTTACCTTGCCCAGAATTCAAGGTGAATGACGACGAGCAATTGAAGTCATCTGAATATGTATACATTCCCGCAAATGGGCAATAATTATTAATAAATCAAGCCGACGTAATCGGAATTCAGGGGCTTCTGCTAATGATCATCCGGAATTGGCCAACTTTCCGAATGTTTAGCATTTTGCCTGGCCAAATTGTTATTGTTTTTGTTACATACACACATGGAGACTTTTAGGAATGGAATCCAAGGAAACTGGTTGCTCACACACGCACACCAACGCACTGCCTACTGGCAAGCACGCACACTTTTAAAGCGTAGCCAACTGCGCAAATACTGCGAATTAACCGTCTGCCTTTGTTACTCACTTTAATTAACCATTTATTTATCCACTGGCTCCTCTGCACTCGATTTTTGGACACTTTGGTAGCAGAAAAATACGTATTTTGTTGTGCTCTGCTAATGGTGTGACCTTTCGCGGTTTGGCGGGAAATCGCCGGGAAGGAATGCTATTGAAGGGGAGCAATCGATGGTAGCTATCGATATTAAGTCAGCGTAGTATCGATAAGTGGGGCGTAAAGTTATCAAATTTAAAAGAGCTTGTGGAGTTGGGATGTTTTAATTGTTGGCAAATGTGTATTTTCAATAAAAATACACGGCAATTTTTAAATTGTATATTATAATTTAATAACGATGCATCAAAGAATATTGTATAATTTGATTCCCTATTTTATTCAAAACCTTTTCAAAGGAAATCCACATTTTTCCGGATTTTATCTATTATTGATATTTGCATTTCGTATTTGCAATTTAAGTAAAATGTTTCGAAACATTTGTGTTTTTAAATATATTTTAAATTTATTTTAATTTCCCCTCTTAAAAAATTACTAAGCTACTTTCTTCTCTCTTATACGAGAATAATACAGTGGTCCCTGAGACTCCTTACTTCGCAAACGACCTTGATCCCCCTGTCAAGTTTCAACGTGGACTCCTTGCCACGCCCCCATCGATACACATATTACGATCGCTGATGCAGGAGGCGTAGCCGAGGGCGTGGGGGATGAAGTGCTGCTCGTAGACTCCTGAGAAAAGCTGTGCATATGGTCCACTGGCGAAGACGGCCACATCATCGCCGCCATGCGTCTCCGATTCCAGGGGCACTGTGCTGGGGAACATAAAGTCCTTGTTCTTCATGTTAATGGCCCTCAGATTCTTCCTCTTGACAGCACCTCCCTCCCTCAGAATGTTGCTGGCGTATCCCGGTCCATTGGCATAGCTTAGAGTGGCATATGGCAGATCATCCGCCGCCAACTGCCCATCGTTGATCCCAAATATGTCGTTCTTCCGGCTGGAGTAACCCGCCAGCGACATGGTGTGTGAATGGTCCGAACTGACCACGATCAAGGTATCGTCCGTGCTGGTGTGGCTCCTCGCAAATCTCACCGCCTTGTCGAACTCCGCCGTCTCATCGATGGCCCTCAGGGCCAACGTGTCGTGGTGGCCATGATCAATGCGTCCGCCCTCCACGAACAGGAAGTAGCCACGCCCCGCACTCTGCCGCTCCAGGATGTCCATGGCCACCTGCACCATTTCCTCCAGCGTGGGTTGCTCCGCGGCATTCGCATCCAGATGGTAGTCCATGTGGTAGGGGGCGAACAAACCCAACACTCGAGATGTCTGATTGGAGAGACTGAGCAGCTCCCTGCGGTTCTCCACATAATGAGCACTGTTTGTGTGCTGATTCTTCCATACCTCGATGAGATTGCGTCCGTCCAGCCGGCGACCAGGTGCTCCACTGGCATCTGTGTCGCTGCGTGGCAGGAAGTTCTCACGACCTCCGCCCATAATCACATTGAGCATTTGGCCCACGGGGCTGTTTATCAGCTGGCTGGCGGCATCTGGACAGAGAGTGGGGTCACCATTATCGCCAGCGACCTCGGCATCGTTTTCCCAGTTCCGGTTGGCCAGGTGCGCGTAAACTCCGGCCGGCGAGGCGTGGGTCACCGAAGTGGTGGTTACCAGGCCCGTGGCCATTCCCTTTTTCTGGGCCCAGGCCGCGATGGAGGACACACGGTGCTCCGGCAGCGCCTGTGCCTGGCAATCCTTGAACTGCACCGCCGCACTCACTCCGATCGTTCCGTAGTTGGCCTTGACACCACCCAAATAGGCGGTGGCGGTGCAGGCGGAGTCGGCCACCTGCATGTTGGCGCAGTAGGTCTTGCTGAGGCCCACATACGGGAACTGCTCGAAGGCGAACTGCTTCTCCTCGCCGCCCAGGTAAACGCGACCCGCGGTGATCGTGGGTATGGACATCCCATCGCCAATGAAGAGCATCACATTCCTGGCCAGTTGGGTGTTCAGTCTAGACTTGCTCTCCAGCTGCTGCTCCAACGTTTGGGTCGCCAATCCCTGCCAGTACTCCGCGTATCGCTCCTCCGCCCTCAGGGCATCGAAAACGATCTGGGGCATGGCTCGCTTGGAGCGACCTCTGAAGTTGGATCCGGATTCCGTCAAGGAGAACACTGGATGCATACGTCTCTCCGCATCGTTGGCGTTTTCTGCGGGTACAGTTGGCTTAGTTTTTGGGATAGATTACTTAGATCTAGACACACTTACCTCCTTTGCGGACTAGAGCACTCAGGCTGAGGAAAAACAAGAGCTGCAGCCTCATCTTTGTGATTTTTGGGTTTCCGAGCTGGCTGTACGCTGCCCGGCACGTTTCCTGCGCCACTGATAGCCGTTAGCACGAGACCTGCGATATTTATAGGCAGGTCCGAGATTTCATAACGATGTGCCGCCATCGACCTGACCGCCGGCTGATAAAGGAAAAGGCACGCTGCCTGGGTTGTTCGCCGGTTTTGGTTTTGTACACACCGAACAGTGCACAGTGCAACCTCCTCGAGAAGATACTTTAGGTAAAAAGATTCATTTTTAGTTGATGTCATTCAGGTTTTGCCTAAGAAGAACGCAATATTAAAATTTATTTATTATATTCTTAAATTAAACAAAAAGTGAAACCTCATCCTAAAAAGATAAACTTTTATTTAATAAAAATAATGAAAACGTTCTTAAAAACGTTTTATAATATATGTATTTATATTATTTTTTATTTTTAAGATCTTTTCATTCATAAACGTTTTTTTATGTTTAAGGAATCCATTTTATATTTATATTCAAAGCAGTTCAAATTATAATAATTTTGGCTTGGATTATTAGAATACAATACTAATAAGATACTAAAGTAAAAAAATAATATATTCTATTGATGGTTTTTAAGGAATAAGTACCAGCACATAAATGTAAGAAAACAAAATATAATATATTCTGTTGATGGTTTTTAAGGAATAAGTACCAGCACATAAATGTAAGAAAATGGATGCATTTTACAAATTTGTAAGAATATATAAGGAATTTTCCAGCATTCACTTTCGAGATACTTGTAGTAAGTATGGGAACACTCCTCAAGACATATAGGTACTTCCAGCTAGCGAGTCCTCACTGTAGATGTTATTTGAAAACTGTTGTTTTGCAGCGGCAATCGTTATCACCGGTCGCCGGAGTCGTCTGCCTGCCAGCCCGCCCGCGCGTCCCGATCGATTTGAGATCGCTCCGCTCGTCTGTTTCTGCCTGCCGCATCCGCCTTTTCTTTTGGGAACACGCGAGTTCTTCACGTGATCGCCGCTGATTGTGCCTGTGCCCGATTTCTATTTCGGGCTTCCAGCTAAGTCGTAAACGCGGGCTAATTACCCCCAACAGAAGATGCGGATAGGGTGATTTGAAAGTGCGCGCCAGCAGCCGCTGTGTGAATGGCAAACCATCGGATTCAATCTGCGATTCCATGCGAGGAGATGGCGCAAGCGCCAGCATCGCATCAAAACAATGAGCAGGAGTCAGCCACTTGTATCTGCATCTCGCTTCCGCCCACAGACAGATGTATCTCAAAGTGCCAAGAGCGAGAGTATCTTGCAGTATGAGTATCTCGGGAAGCATCCATCGGCATCCATCGGTTTTCGGATGCTGAGCGAGAGCTTCTGCTTTGGCAGCGCGCACTTGGCCAAAATAGTTGTTGGTTCGCATGCAAAACGTTAAAATCGCATTAGCTGAAAGACATTTTTTACCAACGGCGCGTTTTTAATTTTTTCTACACTACAACAACAAAAAAAAAATAAAATTAAATTAAATAGACAAAGTAGATGGCAAAAAGTAAAACAAAAAACAACGAGCAAAGCTAAACTAAACTTTTAACGTTCAAAAATTCGATGCGTATACATAAGTATAAATAAATAAGCGCGTGTATATATGAATACATATAATAAATGATATTTCAATAATTTTCAAACAACAAAAGGTTCGAGCAACGTTTTGTACAAAAAAAAAAGTGAAAAAAAGAATGAAAAGTGCTGGTGAAAAACAAATTAAGCTAGAAACAAGAAGTGAATGGCATTGATTTTTTTAAAATAGTTGACAGAAACGTAAAGTTATAAAGTTTCCGATTTTTGTGCATTCGTGTGTATAACTGTATGGAATGCAAGGACTCTTAAGCTTTTCTTTATCCCCTGTTTTTTTGTTGTTGGATTAGTGGGTTTTTTAAAAAAACATACTAGATGTAATGCCACACAGGAAAATTCATACATAATACAATACAGTAAATTGCTAACTGTGTTTCGGGCCCCTTGAAGTCAGCTCGTGTGTGTGTGTGTGTGCGTCGGGATTATGTGACTCTGCGTATACATATCTACAATGTCGGATGGCAGGGATATACTATATGTATTATATATAAAACCTTAGCCAAGTTGGACGCCCAGCTGGCTGCCAACATAGTTTCCCGTTTTGACAAATGTCCTGTGAGGATTCGGTCTTAATTTCCCTTGAAAACGCACTCCGCTTTAAGTTGCAGACCCCCAAAATTTGGGAAAAACTTCTGTTTAAAGGGGACATACATATTTCCTTTTCGCACAACAATCTGGCAACTTTCAATTGCCTTTCATTGACAGTTAAAACGAAAGTTATCAAAAACATAAACAGCCAACCATGATAATAATAGCAGCAACAACAACAACAACGGAGCGTTGACAACAACAAGGACAACAATAAGAACAATTGAGAAGTCAAACACGAGACAACAACACAAACACAAATTAAATAACAACGAAAAATAAAATTAGCCAAAAACTTTGCCAAAAGACACACACACACACACACACGCAGAAAGGGGCGTTGGGCAGGGGGTGTGGCCGTCCTTTATGGGGAAACAAACTTTTAACATAGTAGCCCACATACACGTACAAACGTACGCCCGTAAATTTTGCCACACACACAAACACACACACACACAGAAAAAAGAAATGAGGAAAAACAGAAAGCAGTAAAGAGAAAAGGAATCGAAGCGAAGGATGCGAGGGGGTGGGGGGGGATTGGGATACCAAAGGACGATTGCACACTGTGTCAATTTTGTAACAACTTTCGGAATACTATATTGTATAATGGAATGTACCCGTATCTGACAATCCCACTACAATGTACCAATAATGAGTTGTCTGCAAGGGTGTGCGTTTGTATACAGTGGTGTGTGTGTGCATTTTAATGGGGGCTTAAAAAACGTTTATAAAATGAGAATATTTAAAAAATTATATTTTTTAATTGTCGAAAATATTTGATACCTATACAAAACCAATATTTTTTCATGGGCCCATCTAATTTTAGAACATTTTGAATACATCGTTTTAATGATTACTGCTGTTTTCTTAATGCATGGCTAATTTCAGTCCGTTTCGAGTTATTTCAAAAATCGTAAGTTTAATTAGAAAAGCGAATGGAATTTTAATAGTTAATTAATTTATATTTCTTAAGCCTTCGAGTATTTTTCGATAAGGAAGAAAAAAATAGATTGAAATTCAAATATAGAAATATTTCTAAGATTTTCAGTTAGCAATTATATGATTTGGATTCTAGAATTTGTATAGTTCTTAAACCTTTTATAATTTCAACAAGGTTTTCATATTATTGTCAGCGCTCATGGAAAATAATCTAACTTTACTCACAATAAAACAGTTTTAATATGTGGTATGCAATTTGACTATTGCCTCATCAAACTCTTTAAATGAAATTACTTATAATTTCAACAGCACATTGCTTAATTGTATATATTTAACCTAGTCTTCAATATTTGATAACTGCGGATACCCGACGTTAGTTCAATTGCCTCCAATTCCTGGAATCCATTATAAATTTCCTCAAAAATTTCGTTTTCTCTTGGGCTGTTCGAATAAATGTTTGGCAATTCCCCAGTTTGAATACATGATACATGCCAACTCCATCCCATAGTACATCATCAGCGAGCATTGTTGTTGGGAGGAAAAGGATGCGCGATGCGGGACGCACGAGCGGATAAAACGAACGCACGACCAGAGCAGTGCGGCACGACTGCTTTCTCCCAGCTTTCTCTCTGGCGCCACCCCACCCACCTTTCACCGCCCATCACCCACCGCCCACCACCCACTTGGCCCCCCAAAAAGCACGCGCTCCAGCAGCGAGTTAACTTTGACGTTATGCTGTAAGCGTTGGGTGCTTCGTTTAAATGAGTGCTCGTTGAATGTGTGAGTAATTGGGGGGATGCTGGTTGAGGGGTTGGAAAAAGGGGAATGGTGGGTGGCTTGGGTGGGGGGTGTTGTAGCTTGGGGATTGCTCGGAATGGAAGAGCAAACGACAACAAGCAAAACATTGATGTTACTGGCGGAGGTTGCCAGCAGACGCTGGCTGGCTTTTATAGTTTCACCAAAGGAGTGAAATGGCGCCAGCTGAAGATTTATGCATGTATTTGTGACCGTGTAAGTGTGTGTGCGTGTGTGTGTGCGGGAAATTATGAAAGCATTTGTGTGTGAGTTTGAGTAAACAAGACCACCGTTTTTGGTCGGGGGTGGTTTTGCCCGGCCCACACGGCGTATGTGTGTTTTTGGGCCTGCCTATATTTGCGGGTGTATGTATCGTGTGTTTGCGTGTTTGCTCACCTTCGCTGCATTTGCTGATTTTAAGGCCGCCGCATATTGTTAATGGCCTTCTGCCACTCGCCGCCCGCCGTCCGCCCCCCGCATCCCGATCCTCCAGAGCCGGTGATGAGGACGAAGATTGAGGCCGTCCAGCAATGGCACTCACTGCAGCTCTGAATGACCTTCACCCATTTAACGGCACTTAACCGACCGAAAGTTGAATGTCATCGCAATTTATTTGCCATTTTTGGCTGCCTACATTTACAAAAGGCTAAACCAGAAAGCCCTAGCAATAGAAATATAAATCACTCATGTTGTTATGAAAAGTTTTGTTCAGATATGGTAGAAAAAAGAACTTGTAGTTTTTTTGAAATACCCACGAATATATGAAAGTTAAAACAAGTAACGAAAAACGGCCATCAACAACATTGATGTCTAAACAAAAAAAAATATATTTTTTTTAGATCTTCTGCAACAACCAAAGTATTAAACACATTTAAATTTTCCACCCGAAGAAATGTTTAAAAACAATTTCGAGCAACGTAAGCTCCCCAATTAAAACAATTGCCAAAAATATGTGTTTAGCTTTTTTGTTTAATTCTTTAAAGGAAATGTTAACAAAGTGTGTTTCGAGTTAAAGAAGATTCAGGCATATAAAGTATGCAGGTCCAAGTTAATGACCAAAAAAGGAAGTGACTTTCGTCCTTGATGCACCGCTCTCAGTAAATCACAAACACTGAAAGCTGCACAATGCACAATGCACAGGTGGGGGATGGATAGCTCAGTTTAATTTTAGAATCGGATATATCCATGCAATGGAAATTGAGCGGCTCCCGGGAATTACCATGACAACGACGAGCTGCAGCGAACTGCCTCAAAGTACAGTTTTAGTCCGATTCCGGATTTACGGTCAAGTGGTCGCACATCCCGATTGATCGCCTCCAAGGAAACGGTGATATTTGCATTTATTAATCAACATCCAATCAAATTAAATTTCCATAAAAGACGGCGTGTGTAAATGTATCATATATAAAATGTATGAACGGGAAAATAAATAGGACTGCCATTCCAATTTGTACATTATGGCCAATGGCAAATTTAATATCATCCGCGAGCGGGCAAAATTGCTGTCGTTAAAATATTTTACAACATCCTACAAAGATTGAAAACGAATCAAGCGAACATCCATGCGAGTGGGCGTGTGTTTATGGGTGTGGGTGTTTGGGGGGCGTGGCCTTTTGGGGCAGTCCCCAGTATTGATGCTGCCGCCTTAAAGTAAAACATGAAAATTCAAATTTTGGCAGAGTCATGTGAAAATCGCATGTTGTTTATTTACATTGTTTGGGGCTGTAAAAGCTAAACGGGCAAAAGCGCAGTGAACGAGATATATACAATGTGTACGTATACGTAACGTGCATATCGCGTGTGTAATTAGAGGCCATCAATTGCCGGATTGAAAGTGCCTGTCGCTTGGAAGATTTGTGGGTCTTGGGAAATATGAAGGATTTGTGTGTGTTTACATTGGGGCGAATGCACTGCCTTTGCCTTATTTATTTCTGCTCTGCGATAAACAAACGCGGAATGAGGAAGTGGTATATGAATTCTTTTAACTGCTGCCAAATTTATTCAAAAGATCCTTTAAGTCTCTGTAAGCCGGGCCAAAACTTTTCCACCTGGTTCAGTTTCACTGGCATTTAAAGCAATTAAAAAGTCACACACAAAATACCCGCCCATACACAGAAAAGTTGAACTTAATTTAGCAACAAAGTGAATAACAATTTTAGACACCTCCTCCAAAGGGGCTTTCCCATTTTCCTCCGCTGACAGACAGCTGTTACATGGAAATGAGCCAGAATTTCATTTAAGCCATTGAAATGCCGTGCTCTTCGTTTTTTTTTTGTGTCGCTTACTTTGCAAGTTATTGAACCCGTAAAAGTTTTTAATTAAAATTCAAATTAGACAAATTAAATTGCCTGCTAGGTGGCCCGATTGCCATTCGAAATGGAAGATGTATTTTTATGGGAAGTCTTGGGAACGTGCGTTAAATTTTAATTGATTTTTCCCAGCGAATTGTGGGTGTCTGTGTGTGTGTGTGTATCTGTGTGTGTGTACCTGCGTACGCCCAAAGTAAACGAAGCGAGATGTGAAAACAGAGATGTGGAGTACAGAACAACAGACACAGATACACAGATACACATACAAACAGCACACAGATGCGAATTGGCAGACATTCAGGCGTGCGAATAAACGCACACACTCTCCCGAACAAAGCACACACACACACACACGCACACATTCACAGAACAGGACTCGGATTTCATATTCGTGTTCGGATTCGCATTCGTATTCCCATTCGGTTCTCTGAATGAGAAGCTGGATGTGTGAATGTGTGCGGAGGGTGGTGGGCGGTGGGCGGTGGGTGGTAAGGCTTCCCTTTGAAAGGACAATTCAAGGAGGCAAACGAAAAACATTTTGCCCCTCCTGTTCATGCTGTTGTTGTTGTTCGTTCGTAGGCTGTTTATTGCCATGCCTTGGCGTTGTTGTTAGTGTTGTTGCTGTTGTTATCCTGCTGATGCTGTGTATCTATGTAGAATATATCGATTTATTTTGACTTCTCTTTATGTGTTCAGCCTTCCCTAATACATACAAGCAGGGGCGTACTGAGAAATATTTGCATTGTGATTCACTTTGGAATTGAAAGTATTAAATATATTAGTTTGTCTTGCTTTTTTAAATCAAGTAAACTATGGTTTAATCAGTTGAAGCTTGAGATTTTTAAATAAGGTCTAAAAGAATATATCATTACTGTTTGATTAACTTTCTAAATAAGGTCCAACAGAATATATCATTACTGTTATATTTTCTAACATTTAAATCTTCTTCAGCTTTTTAATATTAATTAGATATGTTTCTACCAACTTTCCAAATATAAAATAAATCGCGGAAGTAGTTTCAACAATGCTGGAAAGCAGGCTACACTTTTAATATATAATAATATAATAACAGTCATAATATTTTACTAATATTTTTGTGAATCCGTAATATATGTACTGCACGCAAGTAGAGATGAATTTATTTTTATAGCATCCTTTAAGTGATCTGAAATCCCCCTTGACCCGCTCCCGACCAAGCCCCTGCCTACAAGCGTATTATTTAATACGGGCAGGACGATAAGGCTCCAAAACTCGGTTAGCAGGCCCACTTTAGGGCGCTTCTGGGTTGAGCGGTTGAGCGGTTGAGGCTCCCTTTTGCCTTTTCCTCCTTCTTTTCTGGATGTTGTTTCTCGCTTTACTTTTTGCGCTTAATGCGCCAATTCTGACAACAGTCGAGCGGTAATGGGTGGGGGTCCTTCGGATGGAAGGCAAGTCGGCAGCGACCCAAAGTCAAATTGAGTAAAACGCATTGAAAACTTAAGTAATTTCCCAAGAACGGCCCACAGTTCTTAAAAGCTTTTTTTCCTGCCTTTGTTCTAAACGAGAAGCCCGAAGCAAACGTTTCTGCCTTTTTTTATTACTATTTTCTGTTTCGCTCCTTTGCTCTTGTTATTGCAGATGGCCAAAGTTGTTGGCCAAGTATAAAAATGTGTTTTATATTGTAATAACGAAGAATGCACTGAAGTCGAAACTCGACAAGCGGACGGGGGAAACCGAAAAAACAGAACAGCACACAAAAATTCATAAACTGTTTAATGAAGCGGAGCAATTACATAAGGCCAAAATCGAAGTGAGCAAGTGCAGCAAGGAAATGCTAAAAGACGATGATAAAGCCAATTAGATTAGTAACAGAAAAGCCAAATGAAATTAGGGACACAACAAAATTTGTGCTTTTCTAAAACCATTTTAATCTCTTTTCCGCAGTAAGATGTTAAGATGTAATCGATAAAAGCGTGCCAAGCCGTCCTCTTTACAAAGAATCAACCCTCAACTAAAGTAAACTACGACTTTTTAAAGTTATAAACCTTGAAAAGGACAAACGAAACGTTGGTAGAATAGCAGAACAAGGAGTGACTTGTGTGTTTTTGTGTACATAAAAACGGAAAGTATGTGAATCCGAGGTGCTAAAATGGCCGCCCTCTTGCTTCTGGCCCACCTTGTGTCTCTAGTGTCCGTGCGTGTGAAATAAAACAAAAAAAAAAGAAAAAAGAAAAGCGAAAAAATAAGAAAAGCGATAAAACGACAACTACCACAATCAGCGACGGTGGAATAGCGATTCAATGTCACAGTCAGCGAGCAGCATCTATGTGCCCAGCTTCAGATACAGATACAGATTCAGATACTGGCACCCATATACATATACCCACACCCACACATATGTATACCGCTCGCGTGTGTAGAGAAAAGCCATAGCCGCAGATTAGTGAGCCAGTTTCAAGGGGCAGACAACGAAGAAGCCAAGACGACGACAATCAACATTCATCATACGCACCGTGGGACGCGGCGCAAAACGCAAATGCAGCCCCCGATCGATCGGTAAGCCAAAAAGCAAATGAAAACTGAACCCCACTCTTTCGTGTCCCCTTCTCTCCACACCTTACTCAACTTTGATTTGAACTCTTTTCATTTGATTGGTGTTTCCGTTTGTTTCACTACTAACACAGACTAACCAATAAAGTAGGTGAAGCTAGAGTACACAGAGAAACTGTGTAGCTTGAAAATCTTTTACTTAACACTTTTAGTTTGAACCTATTTTTCAATTAAAATAAAAGTTGTCTCAAATTGTATAGCCAAATTCTTTAGTTATGTACTTCTTTTATATAAACCTTAATGAAAAGTTATGGTTACTATTCATAATTCAAACTGGTAATTTTAATACCTTTAATACTTAAAGTACGATAACATTTAAAATGCCTGCGATTTAAATCAGTAGAGCAGTTCGACTAACCCTTAACTGCGCCCAATGTTGTGCTATGTGATGATCCTTATAGTGATGATGATGGCTCCTCTTCCTGTGATAAATGTTCCAATTTATTTATGGCTGGCATTAACAAGCATCTAAAATATGTGCTGACACAAAAACACTCGCACACCCTAAACACCCACACAAAAGCGGTATTGGCACTGGGTATTGCGACAAATTCACGCGGCGGAAACGTGCTGCCAACAAAGCAAAACTCGGTGTACCCTGCACTGGCAACAACAACAATAATAATACATAATAAGAACAAGAAATAACAAAAAACCATCGACAACAACCTCCACAGCAACCACTTTTCTGTGTTCAAAGTTCAATGACGTTGGCATCGTCATCCAAGCCATTTCTGTTTCAAACTAATGGAAAATTTGTACTTTTTGTGGCTTCAATTTCACCAGAATTTCAATTCCAATTTTTATTCCTCGAACTAGCTTTAAATTTAAATTCAGTCGGAAAAGTTTGAGTTTATTTCCGGGGAATATGGTGGTCATAAATAGTGCATTGTTGCGGTTGACTGAATTGTGTTTGGATTTCATACAGGTGTTGTTGATGCCTGAAAAGAAAATCGAAGTTTATAAATAATATTTAATATAAATGTATAATATAAAATGTAAATGCATGTTTTGTATTCAGAAAATTTGATTTTAGCAAGACTAAATTAAGGAATATACAACTTTTAATTATTGATTGTTATAAAACGGTCATAATAAAATATTATTTAATATTTCACTGTTAAATCCATAATGAAACTATTGATTTACCAAAGATTCTATAATCATAACATTGTAAATTGTTGATAAACAAAGTCAAATATTATTAACTTTGATTTTGTTAGGCAGTAAATGGAAATTGTACATTATTTGATCAGCTTATTATATGGCCCTTAAGGTGAACTGGGGAATTACTCGGTTTAAATAAAAAAGGTAAAGACTTAGTGACTGCTGCTAATGACGGCGATTCCTTTCAGTGACCAATGCCTGCCAGTCAAATTTATGACCAAAGCGAAATAATAGACAATTGACGTCACCGTAAAATAGGTATAGGAATTTCTTATTTATTTATTCTTTTTTTCCTCTCGACTTTTGACTATTTTTTTTCTGGTATCTTGCCTATGCGGTAACACTTTCCTCATTGCGTCAAGGAAAGTCGAAAGAGAAGCAAGTGAGCGATCTCCGCAGATGACTTATGGAGGACGCAGCGTTGATCTATTGCTGATAAAGTGAAAGTCAAGTTATGTTAGAAATGTAATTATTCATGTCTGGGGAGGGACAAACGAACAAAGAATCCGGCTTAAATTTTTGAGGAACATGCTAAATGTAGTGACAATGGGCAGCCAGCAGCGGCTTTTTGGAAAATATGTAGTGTTTGGCTTGTTTTGCCTTTGCGTCTGGCGTCTCGACGGTTGATGGTCGTCGCGTCATTTATCTGTCAGCATTTGCCTTTGCTTGATGAACTATTAATTTCTGGTTGCCGAGGCAAGAATTTATTTTCGTCAACTGCGGCACGTGTGCCCCGAACATCAACATCAACTCGGATCCGAGTGCGAATGCGAATGCGGCTGCTGTGCGCTGTTGAGGTTCATAAAAAGCAATTTGAATAAATTCCCAGCGAAGAGTGACAAATCCCTACAGTTTGCAGCAGTAAAATATGTGGACATAAAACACGAAATTTGTGGAATATTTATCAGGCATTTGAATAAAGGCAGGAGCCCTATTCTGATGCAAAATGTCGAAGGCTTGGTAATCCGATTTGCAGGACATGAAATTTATGCCACACATTTCAATGAGACCACAAATTCATTAATTATAATCTGATGCAAAATACATTTTCCGAATGCGATAGAGGCCTTGAATATTTCGTTGCGGCAAAGTACCTCAAAGTTCTAACTAATTCAATTATCCGCTTGATTAAACTGCACTCGATTGTGTTTTTCGCACACATTCTTACATATTGTTATGAGTAATTTGCGGTTTTAAGGGCCAAATAGGCTGCAACATTGTGCCGAACATAATTGGAAGGCGTCTGGCGGAAAAGATATGTCAGACAAAGGCAGGGGCTGCTTTGTGTCGGCCTCTACTGACAACGACAGGTGGTCGGCCATGTACTGGGGCAAAGAGGTAAAGCGCAGGAAAGCAGTACCAGAAGTAGCGACGGCCTACGCGGCGTATGCGTGTTCCGCCTCCAAGGATGAGCGATGAGATGATCGCACAGGTTTCGCCTTATTCTGGCTCTCGAATTTGCTCGGCAGCGAGATGTATGTCCATTAGCTGATTTAATGAAATCGTAAATCAAATGAGCGGATTGCTAAAAATATATCTGGCGCGTATTTTATGTTTTTTGAAGTGGAACTTATGCACAACAGCAACAAACTAGCAGAAACGTCCGCCGGCAGCCGCTGAACAATAGATGAAACGTGGACGATTGTGCCAAAGTTTAAGTATGTCCCTGCCTTTTCGGGCACATGCATGTGTGGACAGAGAAAAAATGGAACTCTTAAACCCACTTTTAGGAGTATTATTCAGGTTCTTTTAAAATTAAGCCCCTTGTATATCCACATTGCTTCTACAATAAGTCGGACATAGTCCTCTTTAGCTAAAAACGGGGTAATAAAAAACAAAAATTCAAAATCATATATTAATTACATATGGTTCAAAAATCTGTAGGTTAAATGTAAGGCTGAACAAATTCTTATTGATTTTTAAACCCTTCAAAATATGAACTTAAATCTATTATAATTAATTTTGCAAGGAAACGTTATAGTTTTTTCATATATTTAAATAATAATTGTATGAGGTTTTTTTCCTTCAGTGAATAAAATCAATGTTTCAAAAATCTGCCAGAGAAAATAGTAATCGAAAGATTACTATACGTTCCTATTAGGATGTTCCTACATATAACAATATCTAAGTTATACTTTTCTTTTTTATTTATTTATTTAATATACCCATCTTTTTATAGAGATTTTTCCTCAGTGCATTTATAGCATGGCTATGTGTTGGTGTCTTCTAATGATGAGCACATGTAATGCCTCGAATTGCAAAACTTGGCGTTTTATTTCGGCATTTCTCGCCGTGAATAATGCATGCGATTCCTTGGTCGCCTTTCGGGTTGGTCTGCTTGGGCTGGGTTTTGGTTGTGGTTTTAGTGTTTGTTTCTGTTTCTGTTTCAGTTTCTGTTCTGTTTCTGTTTCTGCCAAAAGTGCAGCATTGTCGCCGCCGTCTTGGCCGTCCGTCTCTCAATAGGCGTGTCCGTTGTGGCCAAGATTTCGCTTGGCTGGCCGGCGTCACAGTTTTCGCGTCTGCGTCTGCACTTTCCCATGGATGCCAATGGGTGTGCGCATCTTTATTTAATTAACATATTTTATTTGCCGCACACACCACACACCATACACCTCACACACACACACACACAGAGCTGGTGTGATTTATGCCCGGCGTTTTGTGCACTTTATGCTGCCTTTCAGTCAGCGCCGAGATCATGGCGATTGTCATCTTTAAGTAGCTTTTTAGCTTTGTCCCAGAGCAAACCCTGCATCCCCCAGAATCCCTATCCGTCGCATTAATCGCCGGCATTAGTCAGTTTTTGGGGCCATTGTTGGCACTGGCCGTGTGACTAATTTGATTACACTCACCAAGAATTTGAATATTTCGCGATTCTGACTTTATTTTGAGGCATTTTATTGTATTGTCCGCCCCGAGAACTGTCGCCTTTCTGCATTAAATTAATGCTCACTTACTGTGCCAGCCATCTAATGTTATTTATATAGAAAATCAAATACTGTCGGTGTCTGAGTGCATCGCGCAGATACTATCGCCAGTATCCGTGAACATTCCTCGAATGATATGTCATCAAAATGTGATTAATTTAATGCCTTCAACTCACATGCAGCCGAGAGCAGCAGTATTTTTCAGGATTTCTAATAGCAGAATTGTCAACAAATATTTATTTCATTCTTTAAAGATCAGAAATAGGAAACAAAAGTGAAGGTTTTCAAGGCTTGGAAATACATTTAGTTCAGCGAATTTTATTTCCTGATAAAAGCCTTTATTTTAACCAATTAACGTTTATCTAAACAAATGTATAAAACTCATTTACTATTTCAAAAACCATTGTAAGCAAAAGTAACCTCAAAACAAAATAGCAAAACGGTCCAAATAAGCTCAAATATTAGTCAGAACCTTAAAGTTTTTATTCCGGGCCATAAAAGCAAAGCGAAATAAAGGAATGCTGCTGGCACTCTGTACTCACTATTAACCCAATTCAGCGGGGAGTACAAAAGAAAACGCAACTCTCAAAAGCCATTTAAGCATTATGTGCAATAAAAATTATAAATAAAAGCCAGCACACACAACACACTCCACGCGGAATGGAGGCGAATGTTTATGGGTGGCGCGTTCTCATTAGGAAGAGTGTTCGATAATTAAACAGAAATGTAAATCAAGGCATCGGATTTTCCCCCATTTTCCGCCTCTGTCTCCCTCGCACGTGTGGCAATTAGCGGGCGATCAGCGCGCAGCTGTTTAATTGGCACTAAAGCCCAAACCGAAGTATTCGCCAT